CTTTCACCAAATATGTGCCACAGAAACTCATGTGTTTTAACTACGTAAACTAGCACAAGTCAAACAGTTGTAATGCACTGTTAACATATTACAACTTGCCACAATCCTGAAGCTACTTCATACGAGTTAAATTTACTTCAGTAGTAATACTTCAGAATAAGGAGACTGAGAATTACTACAAATTGTTCAGGGTCAGTTGAAACCAAGTTAAAACCAACATTATTGAGCTGCAGTTAATGAACTAGTTGATCTCCACACAGATCAAGTAATTATTTCAGTCATTGCTGTCATTACGGTACAACACAAATGTCAATCAAAACTAGAGCTGGAGTCCAAGTCATTTCACTTTAACTCATAGTAAATGAGAATCAGACATTATTCCAAGTGGAACTTTGAGTTGGCATTTATTATCCACATTTATTGTGTTTGGTAACAGCCAACCCAATTCTTGGAGTGCTAGTTCTTATTTATTAATTTATATAACAATGTTAAATGTTAAGACTTTGAAGTGATTTACAAAATATAAAAAACTATTTTACAACACCATTAAAACACACAGTAATTGAAGTGCACAATAATAACAGTCCCATTAAAACATTAACAAATAAACATTCATATTTAAAATGTACAATAAACTGGTTAACAGAACAGGAAATGGAAATACAACAGGAAATGGAATTTCATTATACTGATATGGGTGTGAAGTAAAGGATATATAACAAGAAAAGAATGATGGAATATAATTTCAATATGTGATCACAGTGGAGAGACTTTTAACATGGATACGGATGGATGAATTTACTATTACTCAATATGAAGACATGTTTGTGGGAATTACTAGAGGCAAAGTTGATATAAAAGGAAAAAAGGTTGACATTTACTACTAATAATAACTATTTGGGATCTCCTCTTGAATTTTTGTGGGAAAAGGAAATGAATGATTTTGAGATACTTGGATTTAAAAGAAATATTGTTTAACAGAAAGTAGAGAAGAATGTTATGGAGTGAATGTCTTAAATAATATTTTTTTAATTATGTAACTGGCAGATAGAAATTCAGAAGTCTTTTTTATTTTTTATTTTCTTTCTTTTCCTTTTCCTGTCTTCTTCTTGCTTCTTTTTCTCTCCCCCCCCACCCCGTTTCTGTTTATTTTCTTTCTTCTTTTGTATTTCTGCTTCCGGGCCTTTATTAGGGTCCAAGGATTGTGCACTCCTGGGGGTAGTAGATGGTTGATAGAGGGACCTTGGGTGGGAGGCAGGGAAATGTTGGTCTCTGAAGATGAGAGGCTGGGAGGCGAAGGAAAAGATCCCAGGTGATAGCTTTTTTAAAAAAGTAGCTTGAAAGTAGAACTATCCCAGTGAAATTAAGATTACACTTTTTTGTTTCTTTCCTGCACTTAAGGCTGTCACTATTCCCCCACTCCTGGAAACATTTTACTTAATCTAAAAAATATATATGCATAAAACATTATTTATTGGAGCTGTAGTAAAGTTTAGCTGCTCTCAGGCTATTAAGCTATCCTTTCTCACTCATTAAACCACAACACATTTCCTCATGCATTATTTAGCATAAAAGCGTGTAACCTCTATTGTTCTTATCTAGGTAAATCATGTTTGTATTCCAATCACTTTTCCTTGAGCTTAGAATTTTCTTCATCTCCATTTTACCCAAGGACAGCAGGATTGCACCACTTTCCCATTTGCTCAAGAAAGCTACCTTGTTCTGCTAACAAAAAGTTAGTGTTTTTGCTTACCGTTCCAACTCCCTGTTTTCTTTGCAACCAGCTCTCTATTAACTCCCTTTTTCCCTCACCTTGTGTTCCATAGTGTGCTCTCTTCCTTCTGCACCGCCACAAGCTTCTCTGAACCCTGTTCTGATACCCACTCTGCTTTTCTCTGTCCACTTCACAGCAAAGCCCTATGCTTGCTTGTGTTACATGGTTAGTTCAAGTAAACACCGGGGGTGGGGGGTGGGAGAGAGAGACGGGACGCATTGAGGATGAACATACCTGGAAAGCAACAGTTTCAGGCAGTAAGCCTTTTGAATGAGGTCCTCCATGCATTTAAGAACCCTGAAATATCAGGATTATATCATGCTGGCATTCTTGCATCCTTATTCCTTTTGATAGGAAGAGGTATCCTTAGCCCGCCCACCCAACCCTCTCCTTACATTATGCTGGTAGTTTGGTATCTGCTGCAGTGCAAAATATCATTTGAGAAGTCCAGGAATGTCCTGCTGCTGCTAACTTCTTCGGCATTGCCTTTCCTGGAAACTGGGCCACACATTTTCAATGAATTCCAACGTCACACATGAAATCTATGTAGGACCTGTTGACACAGGCTAGCAAATGTAACAATAATGTAGTGCCCCCCCCCCCGGAGTAACCCTGCTACCATCTCTTGCAGCAGAAGCAACAAAAAGAGTCTTGTGGCATCTTAAAGACTAGCAAATGTATTATGGAACAAGCTTGGGGGAGTATAGTGTACTTCAGACACATGACATATTATCCTGAGTTACAGGTATATATGTATGTGGGATCCAACAATGTAGTTCCACTAGGGCAAAAACTTTCAGCTGTGCAACAGAACTTTCCCTCCTTACAAACAAATTTCTATAGGTCAGGCAATTGTTAAAAGCCTAGGAAGCATGCCAGAAAACAAGTTTTCAACCTTAATTCCACAGTGTTTTCTGTCTGAGAGACTGGGGACGTACTGTGGAAACAATGTTGTGTGCAGGCTGAGGAGGATGAATCTCAGAGGGGCGGGAAGACCTGCAACAAGGGCTTAATTTGTGTGAAAGCTAACCAAGGCCTGGAGCCTAGGGATTATAACATTCTGTTAGAAGCAGTATTTATCTGCACACCCTGTATATGATTGCCAAGGATTTGAGAATACGCCTTTAATTGCTATTGAATGAACCAACAGTTCCACCTGTGAGGAACTAGCGTAAGATGTTTTTGTGCTAAGGAAAGTAGTATTGGTAAAGGAAAGCTTGTACAAATGATGTGAAGCTGCTATCAAAACATCTCATTGAAATCTACACTTAGAACATAGCTAAATTACAGACTTACCTGGTTTAATAGGCCTTGTCTCTTGCCAAGGAGCTCCAGGAACAGTGATTCTGTGAGAACAGGCAGGGACCTAACAAAATTTTCAGCAACCCTTTGGGGGCATCTATGACAGATGAAGTAGTATGAAACCAGTGAATGTTGCTGTGCAGATACACCCCTTCTGAAAGAAATGTTTTGCAGTTGTGCTTTCATAACAATTATCTTTTCACATGATTTTTGCTAAAACAATCTGTTCTTCATATGGGAAACATGTAGCGTGGAGGTGACGGTAAAGAGACAACAGAGGATGAGTATGGATTTCATTCCTATATACTGGAAAGATGGGATCCAGATCTCTGACCAGTTCCTTCTTAGGCTCTGCCAAAAAGGAAATCAGTGCCAGCTTCACCACACATGCTACCCTTTCCACTGGCAAATCATGCATTCAGAAAGAGGAGTGTGGGAGAATATATGTGAATCAGCTCAGAGGCACCTGGAGATGCTTTACTGTGATGTGCATAGCTCAGAAATCAAAGTGTTTGAAAGGTAAGGAATTCAAAGCCTCAGAGAACTGTGTACAATTGCTCAAGATTGCTGTTATAAGTGACATTATCTGAGGTGGCTAGGAATGATGACAGTGTCCCATCAGCTTCTGAGAAATTCATGATTCATGTTACCAAAATGTACAAAGCTGCCCAAATATTAGCAAAAGGTGGAACAACTTCCGGAACATCTTCAGACATATTCAGACAAGACAGAGAAGTTACAGTACAAAAACACAAATCATAAAGATCAGGTGCTACAAACATCTGAGGTTCTGCTGCTGTAGAAAAGTAACTGTATCCCATCACTTCTGTCCTAAAAACACCAATGTTACATTGTTCTGTCACAGCTCCTTTTCATGGAATGTACAAAATTTATTGGTGTGAGCAAAGTGTCTCTTTGTTCAGTCAACTTTCAACATAATCCATTTGCTCTGGGGGATAGCAGAAGAAGCAAGAAACTGAAAATACGACGTTTTTCCTTCCATAGGGATGGATCAAAAGGCAAAGTCAGATTTCAGGATGTGGCAATGTATCCATTTGGTCCTTACTGCAAGATATGGCACCTACCTAATAGCCACAATCCCCAGCAGAATCCTCTGCACACAGTATGGTGTGTTTTTTTTACTGTCGGGACTTAAAATGGAAGAAATAGCCAGAGGTAAGAAGATGACAACAAGGAATGTGTTGATGTTGCAACAAAATGCATTCCACACCTGGTGCTCGTGCTATTGCTTTTTGGCAGATTTAGTGAAGACTGTTTTGTTCTTCAAAGCCTCATCATTTTAATTATAGTGGTAGATCACTTTTAGTGCTTTTAGAACTTTGCACTAAGTTATTCCCCTTCCTGGGTTTATGTTGGTTTTAAATTGTTTTTAGCTGTTGTGCTTGCATTGGTTTTAGCTGATTTGATTTATTTGTAATCTGTTTCATTTGATTTTATCATTTAAATTTGCATTGTATTTTGTATTTTTAATGGTCTGCAAACTTCCTAGAGAGCTCAGTTATAGGGATGGTATCTTACTGCAACAAATAAATAAATCCTAAATGGCTTTGGTCCTATATACCTGAAGGAGCATCTCCATCCCCAGACTCTGAGATCCAGTGCCGAGGGCCTTTTGGTGGTTCCCTCATTGCGAGGTTACAGGGAACCAGGCAGAGCGGCTTCTCAGTAGTGGTGCCCACCCTCCCGTCAGATGTCAAGCAAATAAACAACTATGTTTAGAAGACATCTGAAGGCAGCCCTGTCTAGAGAAGTTTTTAATGTTTGATGCTTTACTGTGCTTGATGTTTTAATTTATTGGAAGCCGCCCAGAATGGCTGGCACAACTCAGTCAGGTGGGCAGCTTATAAATAATATCGCATTTTTGTTATATTACTGAGAGTCATAGTTAAGAACAGTTGTGAAATAGAACACGATGTTCAAAAGAAATTGAATTTTATTCTCTGAGCATCTGGAATGGTCTAGATAAAGAGCCCTAGCAAGCATGGCCAATAGAAATGATGGGAGCTATAGTTCAAGAACATCTGGAGGGCCAAAGATTCCCCACATTTGGCCTAGATCTAGAAAATGTCTCAACTCTCATGCCTTTCTACCTAATTCTACATAATTCTTCTGATTATTTTCTTTCCCTTTCTCTCTCTCTCTGGTTAGACAGTCACCAGAGGGATGCTCATGATTAGGCCTTGCAGAACCACTTGGAAAGGACAGCACTACACTGTAGATCTGAATAATTTCATTCACAGCCGTAAGGAGTCACAAGAAGTGTATCCCATTTAAGTTCGGCCAGTTTATTGCCCCCTCAATCAAATGGTGCAATTCCTAAAGTAAGTCCTTTCACTTGTGAGATACTTACAAATAGCATTTTGGTGGGGCTGTCAGATGATACTTATTATGCCATTCATGAGGCATGCTAGCTCAGCGGGAAGCAGCCACCAGTTAACTGATATCTTTACAAAATAAGGAAGCGACTCTCCCTCTATTGCAGAGCTTCCCACTATAAATTCATCAGGATTTTAATGTGCATGTCTCCTACTGTACAATTCTTGTGCAATCTTGCCGAACATACCTGTTTTATAAGCTACTTCCTTTAATATAATGCATTTCTGTATTTTCATTTCAGTAACATATGCATTAGTATTAATATTCCCCTTAGTATATGCATTTTGTACTCTTATTTTTGGTTGGAAAACTGCATTACAAAGTTCAGAGAAATGTGAATTTTTAAGATAGCTGCATTTCAGTTCATATATTGTTTCATTAATTGGGTTCATATTATGTAGACTGACTGAATTTCTCCCCCGGTCACCACCACCACTTACAACTTGCAAGTATTGAATGCCCTAGCAGTGTCCTTCCAGTCCCTAAAAGGGAAGTGTTTTATTTGTAATTTAGATCACTGCATAAGTGCAATCACCTTCTACTTTCAGAACACTTCTAACTGGACCGTGAGGAAACCTAAACCCTTACATAGATCCTATCCCAAGGGAAGATTTTACAGATAGATACTGTGACCAGTATCTTGCATCCTGGGCCCCAATTATTCCAGGAAGGGTCAAATATGTGCAGCATCCAGTGGTAGCATCAGAGTATGCAGATCTTCATGTTTGTTCTCACATGGGATTCTGGGGATTTACCAAAACAGGCACGACTACCTCTGAGATAAATACGCAGGTAAAAGAGACACATTAGCACATTTCAGTTGGTGCTGGGTTGTGACTAGAGCTTTTGTTTCTTGAGCAATGACTATTGATTCCAAAGGAAAATGCATGCTTATTGTTATAAGATGCAAATTCTGCTAAATGGAAATCTCATCCACATCTCATTGAAACGAATGGAAGTTGCTAAGCCACAGTTTCTGGAGAACCGTATTGTACATGACTAGAATTAAAACTGTGTCTTTTGGAAGGAACACTTTTCTAAATATTGATGGGGAACTATGATCAATGAGGTGTATGGACCCAGTTCTATCCGACTGAGACCAGAAGACTGAAATATCAAATTGCTAGAGCTCAATGAGGACTTTCCTTTTTATGCTGTCCTGTGTTCCATCATTAATCACAAAAGATTGGCACTGCCAGTGCCACCAACAGAAGCAAAACAAATGAGGAATTTCCAGGCAATGAACAGAAGCATTTAAGCCTCCAACTTGGATGCTTTAATTGTTTGACTGTATATCACTGAGAGACTTCATGAGGCAACTGGCAAATATGATTTTAAAAAACCCTTCTACCTGATTAAGAATTCTTTGAATCTTTAAAAACTTGCCCACTTTAGATCAATATAATATATTGTAATGACTCTGCCACTAGATTTCATTGAATGTTAGAACTGGACATCCACTCTCCCTTCCATTCTAAATGAGAGTTGCAAATGGTTTATTAGGAAGCTTGGTGATGGCTGATGTGCCTTCTTTGTTTTCATTAATGGGAGGCTGATTGGGAGGCAGCCTACACCATTTTGTGATTTTGGCTATTTTTCTGCTCTTTTAGATGTGGTAGCTATTTTGTGTCATGTCATGCCTTCCCCACACAGCAGCCATTTTGTGTTTTGACATGCCATTTTGTGGTTGGCGGCCAAAGCACTTTCTCAAATTCCAAATGCACCAACTGGTTAAAACAGGTTGGCAACCCCAATTCTAACCACAGTTGCATAGAAGGGCCTCAAGAGCCAAACATATTTCCACAAGTGGCTCATCTAATAAACTTTCTGTCTTAATTTGCACCTTCCATCAGAAGCAATTAATGTCTGACTCTGTTCAATTGATAAATAATTGGTTTGACACAAGTTAAAACCAATTAAAACCTGATTAAAATTGTGTGATCTGCAGAGCTTCAGAGCCAACTTTCTGACCTGACGCCATCTTAACTAGAAATCTTCGACCCTGTTCAATTAAAAGCAGCATAAGGAAAAGTTCCTTGATAGTAAAACAAAAAACAAAAAACTGCAAGAGTGGGCTTCATTTGTTTAAAATATTTTCAACTGCTTGTCTCACAGACTCAAAGCAGGTAAAGTAACAATAACATGCAATATTAAATCATATGACCTTTCAGATAGAAGACAGATGATTCAAGTACTTTCTGGTATTGCTTTTTATCAGTTTGTAGTATAACAGAGCTATTCCTCCTGCTTTCCACTGGGAAGAGCCTATTAAGGGACAGACTGTCTGCTTAATTAGATTTTTTTATGTCATCTAGGAAGTGGGTGCAGCTCTAGCATTGGTGACTAAACTCTATAAACTAGTTTAGTCCTATGAAAAGGGAGACAGAAGGCCCACCCATACTCCACTTCATCTGCATTTTGCTGCCTTTACACTTCGCTGAGCTCATCTATTCACCCCTCTACCTCCCATTAAGAAACAGCAGCATGACAGAGCAGAGTTGAGATGAACATTGTCGCCGCACCATACCATCTGCTATTGTAAGTATCTAAACATCCTAACTTGTTATACAGACTGCTGTCCAATAACCCATTTAAGGAGACATGTCTATGATCTTCGTTTTACTAAAGTTAAGAGCAAGTTATCTGTACAAATAGGGCATAAAAGCACACAGTCATAATTGCAGAACTGCTTTAGTTAGAGACAGAAGACTAGTCTGCACAATACATTGAAGGACTTCTAGACTTGGACAATTTGAGTGAGTAAAAACCAGGTGACAAGCAAGCTACAATCATATCATTTTGGTATAGATTAAATAATGTAGAAACAAGTATACAGCCCTGGTGAACATGGGTCTGGTTCAATTACTCTCCAACCCACATCTCACCAGACTCATAGTTTTCTCATACAGGTATATAATAAGATAAAGCAACCTTTTATCAATAGAATAAATGTATAATATAGCCTATAATCTATCCCTTGGGACTGAATCAAAGGCAGATCTCAAATCTATACTGGCAGCAGCATATAATCCATTACCAAAAAAGCACATTTATTTCTCAGCTATATTGATATAATTCTGTCACTGAGGAAGGAAAGCATAATAAAACTGACTGTTTGACTTTATAATTTCTGACTGATCTCGAGTCCCATGGAACTGCAGACTATCCACCACCATACAATGAGGAGGGATAAAATAAGCATCCCTTTTCCCTTCCCTGAAGTAAAATTCGGAGGGTTCAGAAGTCTACCAAAGGGAATTATATCAACTACATTAGAGACCAAAAGCAATATGCAAATTAAATTTATCCATCATAATATTTATTATGTAACAACATTGCGTATCCTCAAGAAGATCTACAATCCCAAAATAGTGTGTCCCCCACATGTACCTCCCCAGTTTCTTTGCTTTGAGAACATTCCCAAAGGCCTCCTGCATCAGACTCCTTTTGACAGCGGCCAGAAAGGTGCTTCCAAGAAATCTACAAATCCCCCCTACCATTTTTGTTCTCTAGCCAACAGCATTTGAAGGCCACACTGCCTGTCAACATGGAGATTCTATTCAGCCACCATACTTAATAGCCATGATAGACCTGCTCCTCATGAACTTGTCTAAACAGCCTTAAACCTCCCTAAGCCATTGGCCAGCCCCACATCTTCTTGCAATGGATCTACAGTGGTACCTCGGGTTAAGTATTTAATTTGTTCCGGAGGTCCGTACTTAACCTGAAACTGTTCTTAACCTGAAGCACCACTTTAGCTAATGGGGCCTCCTGCTGCTGCCACGTCACTGGAGCACAATTTCTGTTCTCATCCTGAAGCAAAGTTCTTAACCTGAAGCACTATTTCTGGGTTAGCGGAGTCTGTAACCTGAAGCATATGTAACCTGAAGCATATGTAACCTGAAGCATATGTAACCTGAGGTACCACTGTATTTGTGGATTATGATTTGTGGAATGTTTTTATCTCCTCTGAATCCACTGTCCATCAGTTTTGTTCTGTGTCTTCAAGTCCTAGTTGTTCAGTAAGTTTTGCAGCCTCTTTGCATAATCAGAGGCATCTGAGAGAGGAGTTTCTACGTCATAATCTATGGCTGCTTTATGTGACATGTTCATTGTAGTGCAGAATAGTATAGTACATATCATTTGTCACAACACTTTTAGGGGAGGATCCTAAAGCAATTCCAAAAGGGGATGGGACTTTTGGCTGTAGGCATTTTGAGAATATGTGGGCTGTATGAAAGTATAAGGAGACAGAGACTATCCCTGAGCTACTCATACCAGATGAAGCATTTTATTTTTTTAAAAAAAAATCTGCCAAAACAGCCAATTCACATCCTTGTGACAGTGCAACAGTTTAAACTGCTTATAATACCAATAGCAAGTTACATTTGGTGGACTTTAAAGCACCCAAAAGCCATTTATGTAGCACCTCTGTGGAAAGAGGAATGGAACTGCTGCAGTGATCAATTTAGGCTTTACTTCCTGTCACCTCCACTGCTGAAATCCTCTAATTGGCCAGATGCACCATACACATGCAGCAGCATTGGACTTTGTGGAGATCTGCCCCATGCCCCTTCAACAGCAAGTTGCTTCTATCCTCATGAGCCTTTAGTGATGAATTTACTTCAGCCTCCCTGCCTTAGAAGCTTGATGGCTGAGTTGCATTCAGAATGCTGTCAACAGGATGCAGAGGAAAAACAAGGAGCAACGAAAAATACTCTTTAGTGCACAAACATTTGTTCCTAGAGTGATAAAGTACAAAAGAGGACAGGGCTCCTCTGGTCATGCACCTGCTTAAATTCCCTGCTCTAAACAGTGAATTAAAGGGGCTAGTCTCTTAACCTTGTCTGCTTCTATCCACTGACATTCTTAGGAAGAGATGCATTCCTACCCAACTCTCTTCTCTGCAGTCTGTTTATTTGCCAGAGGTCCCAGCTGCCTCCCAGTGAGCATCCATGTTTGGAAAGGTGACATACTGGGAGTTGCTGAATAGCTGTTGGGTTTGGCCATGGTAAGCAGTCTGGACTGAAGTGAGATGGGAACCAGGAGCCCAGAATGCTGAGTAGATAAGATCAGAGGACAAAATGAGAAAGCAAGACCAGAGAACAATCCAGGAGTCAGGTTCAAACAGCAGTCGGAATCAGAGGGTAAACCAAAGGCAGGTCCAGAGAACATGCCAGGCGTTGAGATTGAAGAGTAATCAGTAGCAGAGGACAACAGCATAAGCAGCATTGCAATAAAAGAGCAAAGAATCAGGACTAAAACATGTACAGGACCCCAAAGGCATACCGAAATGCAGTAAGACTTTTCACTGTCTTCCAGGGAGACAGGAAGGAGTTAAATGGTCCGTCTGGGTGGACGGAGGTAGAATTATCTTTCCTGAGAGGTTGCCATTGCATAGCACTCCATAGAGGGCAAAATTCTTCACACCATCATTACTCCTTGGTGGGTGGCCACCAGGTACCTCTGCATGTTTTCAGACATGACTGTAGGGCCTTCTTTATTAAATAAATTGCTCTCTTTTTCAGTACTCCACACATGGGGATAAGAATATTGGCCTGCTGTGAGAATTACTGATAAAATGAATGTGAAGTGCTTTGAGCATTCAGGAAGAGAGGTTCGGCTATTACAATTAAAAATACTCAACAAAGGATCATCACAGATATACTGAAAGAAACATAAGGAAAATAATGAGGGGTATTGTTAAAAGTTTCACATCCGCCATACTTTTATTTTCGTTTCTCTGAGCACTAACCTCTGGGAATTATTTTTCTATCAAAAATACTATTTTTATCTTATTGCGTCTTCATTGCTCATCTGTATTCATCTTTGGTTTATTCTATGTAATGAATTCATGACAAGCCTCCAAGGCACAATAATACTGTGCTCATCTCCCACAGCTTCCATTCAAGGCTCACCAATTGCTTTGCTAACTTCAAATTAGGCTCACTAAGGTGAGGACAAAAAAAATTATCTCTATTTTTTATTGATGGGGAAGCGGCTTTGACTTGAGTAAGTGACTCACTGATTTGGCAGTGAGCAGATACTATAAGTAAGTAAGTAAGTAAGTAAGTAAGGCCATTGGTTAAGTTGAGATGCTCCACCAGGACAGCAAGGATGAGTTTAACCTTCAAAGCCTAAGTTAACTGTGAAGCTTAGTTGCTACTGGTTTTATGGACTTGGAAATCCCCTTCTCCACTTGATGTTGATGATTGATTAACAGAACTTCTAGAACTGGCATCCCGACAGCAAGTGACATATGTCACAAATTTAATGGCAGGTGGGATACCTTTCTGGAGAGCTTTCTTTACAACAGTAGTCTCCAAACAGCAGCTGTGATTTAGTACTCTGGTTCCTTGCTCAATTGATGTAGGAAAAAAAGACCTTCCACTACCTTCTTCTTGCTTCCCTTTCATCTTCATCTGTCTTGTTCTTTATCTTTCTACTTATCCACTTGAAAAGCAAACTCTCTTTTCAGTAATTCCAGAGCCATAAGGGCTGTAGAGCAAGAAGGACATTATTTATTATTTGAAGCTTCTGTACTTCCTGAAAGTTTGTATCACCCAACAAGAAGATAGATTTGCTTTGAAACTTTTGGATTAACTTGGTTATTCCTTTTCTATTTCATTTTTATTATCATTTATTGTTTTATATCATAAAAACAATAAATCTAGAGACATTAATAAAGTAATGAGGCAGAACCTTGCTAATAAGGAGGCAGTGCAGGATGTCAGCAAAGAACATTCTTTCTGATTACATTTTAGGAAAGCAAAACTATAGAAAACTGTATAAAATAAATATATGTCTATGAACACACTAAATATACTAACTGCACCCAAAATCACACAAAAACTAATATACCACCATCACTACTGTCAGTTATAATATATTTGCAGTTCATTCCTGAGAAGTAAATCCCCCTGAACTTAAGTGTGAGCTACTAAGTGGGCTTTGGCCTGCAGCCTTAATATCAGAATCTAAAAGGTATATTTCAATTGTGTCATTCAGAAACACACCCACCCACCCTCCGATCAGCAGGCAAATATGACAGCTTTCGAGAAAACTGCAGCAGTTTTCACAGTACACAGCTCCAGGACGCATTTATGAGATCAATTCTACTATTGCCTGCCTTTCTGACTCATCCATTTGTTAAACTGTAACCATTTTAGGGGGCTAATCAATATGTAGGATGGGGAAGAAAAAAGCTGCTAGATAATGAAATGCAGCTGCAGTGTTTAAGAGATAGAACAGATGCAGAATGAAAGTATGATTGAAACTTCCATTTCTGTTAATTAATTATCATTGCTTTGATCTTGTTTTTTAGAGAGAAAGAGAGACTTCATGGACCAGAATGGTGAATGCTGGTAAGGAATCTTTTCTCTTGGCAGAAATCCAAGGATCAAAATGTAGGCTTCAGCAGCTGTGGTGAGTAATCTGTCAGCAGGGACACCATGACAGCCTAGAAGAGAGAATTAATAAATATATGAAATAACCAGCCACACTGGGAAATGGTGCTGCATACATAATGTTAATTTACAACAGTGCAGGAAAATGCAAAGTTTTAATAAAAAAGGTCACATTGATCTTGCTGTTTATTAATTTATACCAGGGATGGTGAACCTCAGGCCAGGACCCTGAATCTGCATCCATGGGCCTTTGGGACGCCCACTAGGCTCAACAGCTGAGGGAGTTGAATATGTTTAGCCAGCAGAAGACTAAGGAGTTATATGATAGCTATCTTCAAATATCTGGGCTGTCACATGGATGATGGGGCAAACTTGTTTTCTGCTGCTCCACAGGGTAGGATTCAAACCGATGGATTCAAATTGCAAGAAAGGATATTCCTACTAAACATCAGGAAGAACTTTCTGGCAGTAAGAGCTGTTCAGCAGTGGAACAGACGCCCTCGTAAGGTGGTACACTCTCTTTGTTTGGAGTTTTTTAAACAGAGGTTGCATCTGTCAAAGATTCTTTAGCTGTGATTTCCGCGTTGTAGGGCGATGAGCTCCCTTACAATTCTACACTGTGATATCCCTCTCCAAACCACACCCCTCAGTGACTCTGCCATGCACCCTCCCTGAGTGTTTTGGACTGGCTGGAATGAAATGTGGCAATACCTCTCGCATGTCTTGATGAAGAATGAAAACATACATGCATCTGTACATGTGGGTCGGTGTGTCTAGAAACCTCTGACTTCTGTGTAGCTGGAAGGTAGCCTATGTGCCAAACCTAAGAGTTGCACCCATTACTCTTCCCACATTTGCCTCTGGCCTCACCCACCATTTGGCAAGCAGTCTCAGGATGGTTCCCCACTCCTGGTTTACACCATGGGTGTAGATCAAAATAAAATGGCTTTTGGTGGTGTTCCTCTAACAGGTACAAAGGCCGCTGAGATCAACAGTGGGCCCCTCAACAGTCTCTAGACCTTGCCAGGTGTCTGACCCACCCACTACTAGAATTGGCAAATTAAACACGAATGAGAATTACGCTTGCCTTTTAGGATGGCCCAGTCCTTTGAACTGCTGTGCAGTTAACGCCATAGGATGGAGTGCAAGAACTGCAGTGCAGTGTCACTGTCTGCCATTATTATACCAGCATGTTGATGAGACTACTGTTGCAACAGCCACCGCTGCCCAATGCAGCCCAATCAGTGAAAGACTAGCAAGCCAGTGAAAGACCTGAGCAAGTGGCTCAGATATGAGTGGTGTAACTGGGATGGTAACCGGCAGGACTAGGGAGATCTTATATACCATCCTGAAAAGCCTTTTAGTCAGTACTACCGAGTCGGCTAAATCAGCACAGACCTAGAATTTCATATATATAGGCAAGCGGACATCAGGGCAGTTGTAAATGTCAGGTGGATAACAGATTGGGGTTATTTCTCCTGCAGCACACAGAATGCCATCTTTATGCCATGAGATCTTTGACACCTATCGGATCAGAGTGCCCATATACCATAACTATCCATTTCCTGTTTTCAGCCTCTTGGAAAACCAGCGACTGTGGAGAATAAAACACTTCATCATCAACTTCTTCTGGCTTTCTGGGTAAGCAGTGTAAAAATGTCCAATCAGCAGCAGCCACTTTTGCAGTCTAAAGATGGATGGAGATAGAGAGAGAGATAGATTTGAAACTGAACGCCAAAACATGCTAACAGATGACCACACACAAAGTTGAAATGATGCACATATCCCTTAAAATTACTCTTTCTCAAAAGCCCTGATTTTGGCAGCATTGTGTGGGTCATGCTAGTGTCTAACAAGCTGAAAGAATTGAGTGAGTATTCTACTTCTGGTTTCTTTGTCCTCTCTCCACGGTTTATGGTAATTGCTCTCTTGCTCACTGCTGTGTCAGCCATGAGCCGCCTCTTTTTAAGCTGTGTGCTTTCCTCTTTGCAGTCTGAGTATTTGCAGCCAAGGAGTATTTATCCCCTTTGCTTTCTCTGTGTACTCACGTTTCATTTTCTTTAAATGCCAAAAAATTACACAAAACATTAAAAATAATAGAAGCACTGAGTATACATAAACCTTCTTATGCAATTTCTGCACACTGACGTACATCATTAGTGGTGGGCTAGGAAAACAGCCAGATATATTTATGTAATTCTTTTTTCCTAGGCCCAATACATATATTACTGTGGCAACACACTATTAAAAAATAACCAAACAAAACGTGGTTCAGCTTTATACCATCTTATAAATGTATCAGATCACAGGGCATCACATCATTACTTCCCACGCATGCCCCCCCCCATCCATCAGGCATTGGAAGGAATTGTGTGAGGAAAATATGAATCCCTGTGACCCATGTATCTGGGGTAAATAATAAAAGAATCAGCTGGATGTACAGATTCAAAATGTGGTGCTAAACTCACTCTCCAGCAGGAGAGAGCCCTCAGTAGCAGATTTTAAATTCACAACAGTCAAGCAGCTGCATAGCATTAGGAATATAGGTTATTAGACCTTTTTATCCTGTTTAGTCTGCTTGCAAACAGTGCTTCTCTCCTTCTACCCATTTTTCATTGAACAGACCACACACTGCTGAGTAAAGTTAAAATACTTATAAAGTGTCCCAAAGTTCAGATTCATGCATTTATCCAAGCAGCAGCAAGGAAAATATAGGCAGAACACTCTTGGGTTGAAAATATAGAAAGAGAGTTTCAAATACATGCTCTAAGCTTGGCGTTTGCTTAGGCACGTCTTTCTTGGTCAGTGTGGAGAGAGAGGGAACAGGAAAAGAAGACTTCACTTCTTCCTTTATCAGAGAAGAGGAGGTGTGACCTAAATGAGTCTAGGGCACAGCTCTATGATCACAACCCATTTATGCACTAACTAACACTAATTTTTCACAGGAATTACATGACTAGGGCAGTCCCACATGGTCTAGCCATCCATTACTTAGCCAATATTAAGCCAATATACTGAAGCATATTTTGTGGCATATGCCATGCTTCTACAGTAAGTTATTAAATTTTCTGTGAGCGTTTAGAGCTGATATTATTATATTTGCATACTACCCTAAATACTGGATCATCACTTTGCAGCCTGAACAAATGTTTCATTTACTAGTAACTTGGTAATTGACAGAGCACGTCATTCTTCTCTTAATCCTTTATACAACAAGCATTTTCATATGCAATGTGTTACATCTTCAAGTTCATTAAGAATTAAGGTACTTAGGAATACGTGCAGAACCAGGACTTCTGTGCCACACTTACTAAAGGTGCTGCAGCAGCAACAAAAGCAGGAGCAGCCACAGGAGAGTAGCAAAGCAAGCACTGCATTTGCTGTGTGCACTGCCACACTGCTAATTCATGCTAAGCCATAATTTATTTTTAGCTACGGTTTAACATTACATGCAGACCTGCTTAATGTATTGGGGACATGGACATCATAACATACATGCATTTGCTTGGGTAAAAGTCCATGGGTTTTACTACCTGGCATGCTCCCTGTACCCTACACATGTACCTGTGTACATGCAGAGCAATTAGGAAAATCACATGTGAAAAGCATGCAAAGCTACCCTTAAAATTTTCAGTAATATAAACTTGACTTTACTGAGGTCCTTTACCAGCAACTGAAACTTCATAAATCTTGCTACAATTATAACTATTTTTTCCAATCTAGTTACATAATGCATTTTGTATTACACTCTGCCATCCACATTGTGCATTTTCAGATAAATTGTGGCAGGCATTGAAAAGAAAATATGTTGCTTAAAAAGGCAACCTACGTCAAGAGTATACAATATTCTGTTTCCAACAGTCCAGAGCTGTTGCGTAAAACTCATGGATGACCCACGAAATGGAAAATCAGCCTTTGATTTAAACACAAAATGTGTGTGCCATAATAATGTGGCTCTCTTCAGCAGAGCTGCCAGAGTGGTCCTGATTCTGGTGCCCTGAATGTGCATCTAGCATTCCATTCACCTCACTTCCTTTCTGCTGCCTATTCCTCTCTCTGCCACCTCTCAGTTGAGCAACTGGTTGATCAGCACTTCCCTTAAGAGCCAGCAGCTGGGACCTATAACTCATTCAATCAATGGCAGGCTTGTCAGTTGGAGTTGCTCAAAATATATCACAGTGTAATCAAGAGGTTCATCTTTGGCTTCAGAAAAAAAATTACAGTGGATCACTGGTACATTCTGCACTGCTGCTATGCATGCTGCTATAATGTTTTTGTAAGGGTAATAATTGCCTATTAAATCATGCCTTTAAAAAACCCACAATCTAAAGCATGCCTTAAAAGTCCAAATGTATTCCTTTATATCAATAACTCATTATATATTAATCTAATACCTGAACAAAGCTTCATAGCACTATGAGCAATTTTGAACACTACCATTCTGGGAAATAGGGTTGAAATATGGCAGTTTAATGTACAGATATTAATAAAGAGAATGGCTTTTCATGTAACCATTTTAAATATTTTATTAGATTACATTTTCTATTTTTAAGTTGCTATATAAGAAATATTTCAGCCACATACCTTTTTGCATTTCATATTTTTATATATATAAATGTGACCCTCCCATGCTGCCTGGTCTTTTTTTTTTTTTAAGAAACATTAGCATAACACAGACAGAAAATTACTTTAAAGATTTTATCTCTTACTAAAGATGCTTAAGTAACAAAGGGATTTTAGAGAGAAACAGTATCACTGCAGATCACCAAAGATAACAAATCACACCTCAGTATGAAGAACCCCAAACCTGTACTAAAAACCCAATACATCATCAAAAGTAGAATGGGATGAGGTAAGAGAGAAGTAATACTGACTTCTTCTTCTTCTTCTTCTTCTTCTTCTTATTATTATTATTATTATTATGGCTCCCACCTCTATTCAAAATGCTGGATTTTCTTCACCATATTCCTTTTGCCCCTTTCATAATATAAGCCCATGCCTCCCTCTGGACGATTCCATCCATTATTCATCCATTTATTTATTGCTCTCTGATAAAAGAGATGGAGAAATTCCCCTGATAGGGTCTTATTCCTGATAAGTGTGTATTTCCCTGAACAGCAGAATCAAACAGTTTTTAATATAGAGGATATCGGAAGAAGAGAAATTCAGTGGGCTCAAGAAGGAAACATCCTTCTGGAACAATGATGCTGCTTGCTGGGTAGTTAAAGCAATGAGACCACAGCCACATAAAAATAATTCCACATCCTAATTTATATGTATAAAATAAACCACACACCCAGGCCCCTCCGTAACAATGCCCCTGCTTCTCAGAAGCTGATCTGTGCACATTGTAATCAATGTAGCACTGCACTAATGGTGTGTGCAATAGATAGCTCACAATAAATATGGAGTACCAATTGCTTATGGAGTACTGCTTAAGTATGTGAGTGCATTGATCCTGAAGAAATATATCCATTCTGTTCCCTGACTGTTGCTCATCCACTGTTATCTCCAGTGAGCAATTTATGTGCATTCATCCATGCAGGCACTATAGCAGGGGTCAGCAACCTTTTTCAGCCGTGGTCCAGTCCACCGTCCCTCAGACCATGTGGTGGGCTGGACTATATTTGGGTGGCGGGGGGGGGGGGGTTGGACGAATTCCTATGCCCCACAAATAACCCAGAGATGCATTTTAAATAAAAGGACATATTCTACTCATGTAAAAACATGCTGATTCCCGGACTATCCATGGGCCAGATCGAGAAGGCGATTGGGCCGCATCCGGCCCATGGGCCTTAGGTTGCCTACCCCTGTACTATAGCATCCAGATACAGAGATGTGACTTCTACATTTCCCAGGGCCTAACCACACATTAGTATTACTTGAACCAAAAACAAGATTAAAACCAAGCACAGAGAAGGTGTGTGATTTGGGAAGGGGAGACTTCACCCTTGTATTTCATGCTACAACCCTGAAAAGGTTGAACCCCCTTACACTAAGTACCAATAGTAGAATAAAAACTATGGGCTAATGGGAAGGTGCTTTTTTGCTTTTTGTAGACTGTTGCTATTTGCCACATAGGGTTGTGTGATTTTTTTTCCACGGTCATAGTAGAGAGCAGAAGAGTCAAGGCCCCCTTCCCCACATGTTGTGGTCTTAACTAGGATCATGGCCTCCTGTTTTTGGTTCTAATATTTATATATAAATACACACACACAAACACAAACACACTGGTTATGTTTACTTCATCTCTCAGGTCACTATTTCAGGAAGGTAGGGAAGTTCCTTATGCAGCATTCAGCCTGATATTCTTGTGGCACTCTATTAAGGTTAGCAGTTGCTTCAGAGTAGCTGTAGTCATTGCTATAATAATAAAAAATATGTACTCTGTAGATATTTCAACAGACATGTGCCACAAATCTCCAGTGTTAGGTAATGCAAACATATATGAGGCCTAAAATGTTTTTAAAGTTTTCTTCTGGAATCTACAAAACCATAGAAATCTGGTGGGAAATCTTTGCATTTTACCTTCATTGTGATCTGATAACCCTGGAAAGCCCTCAGTCTCTCTTCTTTTTCTGCCTCTTGCCCCATGCTTATCCACGTGTCTGTGATCAAAACGTTGGCTCCTTTGGCAGCTTCAGTGGGGACACTGGTGAGAAACAACTTGGTGCGGTGCTAACATGAATAAATCAGAGGAAATGCACTAAGTTCACGTGAAGCACAGTAGAAAAAAACATTTTACAGTCACATCCTCGTACCTTTACGGACTCCTGTTCCGCTATTTTGATGACCATGGGATCTGGCTCAAAACCCTGTCAAAACAGATTACAGTGTTACAATGTACAGTGGTACCTCGGGTTACATATGCTTCAGGTTACATACACTTCAGGTTACAGTCTCCGCTAACCCAGAAATAGTGCTTCAGGTTAAGAACTTTGCTTCAGGATAAGAACAGAAATCGTGCTCCGGCGGCGCAGCAGCAGCAAGAGGCCCCATTAGCTAAAGTGGTGCTTCAGGTTAAGAACAGTTTCAGGTTAAGTACGGACCTCCAGAACGAATTAAGTACTTAACCAGGTACCACTGTATTCCATTCTTGCTACAAATAGAGAACATTAAACACATTCCCAGTTTTTATAGAAATAGACAGTAGCCTGGGTACTCTTAACTATATCATTCACAATACCTGAACTGGCAGCGTGCCTAGAGTTGGTTGGAGAGTTTCTGGATTAGATTTCCAAGCTATGGACAACTGGCTCCTGGACTTTAAAAAGCATCTAGATGGTAATTGCATAAATAGAACCACATTGGAGCCAAAATGAGATATGATACCAGCAAATGTGTGTGTGGGTATTGGGTCGATGCCAATTCCCTATAAAGCAGCAACACCACATATGGTAGGGTGGAGCTGCCCTCCTGACACCAGCATCACTGCTGTTTATCTGGATGGAATGGGGGCGAGATGGATGGGGAGGGGTGCACTGTCAGGAGAACTGAATTACAGCAGAGGTCCCACCAGTGTCACTACCTGCTCCCAACCTTGCTGTCACTCCACCACACACACATAAAGCATAAGGAGAAGGAAAAGTTTCTTACCGTCCTTTTTTATTTCAATATTACAGAGAGGCTATAGAACCCAGCCTCTTGGATAATGGCGTTGTCCCAAGTGAATCTCCACCCCCTGTCTCTCCCACTTCCTCATTTGTCACTTCTATGGATGCTGCTACATGCCCTCTGTCTTTGAGCTCTTTGCTCTCCTACTTTTAAGGCTCACCGGGTTCTTGGAGATGGGGACTCTGGAATGCTTTCTAACGACAACGTGACAGTCAGCTGCCGTTTCAGTCCTGCCTCCTCCTCTCCCATTATTTCCCAACTTTTCTCCTCATCTGCCTCTGAGCTGTGACCTCCCTCAAACCACTGTTGTAAATCCATACTATCTTCGGCTTCCTCCTCCCTAGAAGGGTCAGGATGGGGAGGCAATCTCCACCATTCCTCCTCTGCCCGGTCCCTGACAGCATCCTTCATTGATGGACTATCTCTGACCATTGGCCATGCTGCTGGGGTTGATGGATTCCAACATCTGGAGAGTATTAATGTGGGGAAGCTCATGGTAAATGTCAGCCAGCACAGAGGCTCTTCAAGAAGAGCGAGAATCAAAAGATGTGTCAGATCTCCTAACCACCCAAATTACTTAATCTACTGTGCCCAGCTAGCAGTCCAAATTACTCAGTTTTGTCCTGGTCTTAGTAAAGTAACCTATTACACTGAGCACAGATTTTTTTAAAAAGTTCAGGGACTGTTTGTGAGATTAAACTCTGCCTCTTCTGGCTGGATCTTCTGAATCTAATTCATAGGGACTAGCTCATTGTTCTTCTAGTGAAATGGCGACCTCAGCTTCTGTCTTCAGTCTAATCTTTAACCCTCTCATTCCTGAACTCTGAATCATGAGGCCATTTCCTTGTAGCTAAGCATTTTCCTTCAGAGTGATAATGGGCTAGTTTTGTTAACAGTTTTATACCATTAAACTCCGGATAAAGTGCACTCATTATCAATGGACATGTATTTAGATTTTTTAAAATTAGCTTCCAAAGCAAAGTCAATTTGCCTTTGCACTCTTGTATATAGATTTTGTGAGGCTAAACCCTCTAATAAAATTACAAATGTTTTTCTTTTTCAGAGCTGACAACCAACTTTATTGTCCCGTTCAGAGCCACATTCTACCCTGAAACCAGGCTGCTTTAAACAAAATGTGAAAACTATGGAAAAACAGTATTTCAGCTTTAGAGCAGCAATCGCTAAACTTGGAGGGTCACAGATGTTGTTGGACTCCAATTCCCATCAGCCCCAACCAGCATGGGCAATGGTCAGGGATGATGGGAGGTGCAGTCCATGTTCTTTGCCTTAGAACATTTGACTTCCTCTCTCCCCAACTAAGATTTTCTTACCTTTGGAGTAGCAACATGCAGATTCATCCCAAATCTAGCAGCACTAAGCATAATGGAGTTTAGGACATTATTTCCATCACCTATCCAACTTAGGGTCAATCCATTCAAAGATCCATAGTGTTCCTACCAAAAACAAAACAAAACAAAGCCACAGTTATTTACAGTGCTTGTCAGTTTTGAAGTGCAACTTTTATCATACCATGTAGTCTGGGATCTGGCAACAAGGATGTTGCCTTTGAACAAATTGCCATTGCCCATATTCTTTCTTTGTCATACAGGATATTAACATTATTCTGTCAATCAATACACTATTATTATCCCAGCCAAGGTTAAGCAAATTGCTTAAGGGCCTATACACTAATGGACAATATCCTGCCTTATTTTCTATGAGCTGGAGCCATTCATTATACTTGTTCCATACAAGAGCATATGCTTCTCTAGCACATAAGTATGCATATACTTCTCTAGCACACAGGGAAATATATAGCTATCTGTGTATTTCACATGCCTGTGATCACAGAACTCTAGCACTGCATTTATATTAGATGGAGAATTTGCCACAATGTGGGTAACTTTCATTCATTCATTATTTTAGAATGCATGCATCCTGCTTTCTTCTTATAAACATGTAGATAATGTGAAAATAATACTTTGAAAGTGATACCTCAAAAAAACCAATGAAGCCTGAGCAGACTTCCAACAATCAAGGGTTGGTCTTCCATGCTGCTAATAATTCCTTGTCCCTGCTTATGAAGCAAGAAGCAGGAAAGACTATGCAAAATAAATCAATTCATGAATATTTGTTTTAATTTGCATAATATGACTTTTCTTGGCACAGATTTGAATGTCATTGTTGCTTATGATGATGAAGTATGGGATAGAATAGCCCTAACCAAAGCCAATAATAACTTGTTATCCAAACAATCAGATATTTATTCTTTATTAATATCTCTAATCTCTGTGGAGATAGCCGGCATAGTTCATCAGATGACAAGAGTCAAGTATTAGAACCATCTGTCATGCTCGATGTCCTGAACCACAAAAGCCAAGACAGAGAGAGCGAAATGTGGATAATAGCACTGTTCTCTCTAAACAGGTAGCCTAGAAGGGAACTGGCAGGATGCTAACAGTGAGTACAGCTGGCAGGCAGTGAACTATTACATAAGAACCATGAGTCACTTGCAATTACTGAAAAGCTGTCAATTCTTGGTGATGAAATGCCTTCCAAAGGTTATCAGACAAAATGAACAGCTGGAAATGATTTATTCACCCTGCATTCTAATGCAGCCAGCATTTCTCTTTTTGTTAGGACCTGATTTGAGGTGTTGCATCTTTCCACAGCATCTCACAAAGCCTGGCTGGACGCCACCTTCATGGAGTATCCAGAGGCCCTGCTCTTCTATAACTGGGTAATTCTTCCCACCTTGAATGATACTTTTAATAGAAACAAGTCATCACCAAATGTGAATTTATGGAAAGAGCCACTTTTGCACCCAGCACGGTTCCCACAGCATTTTAAGCCTCCTGCATGCATACTTTTCAGATTCCTCCATGTGCAATCAAAGAACACCCACTCAGAGCTTAACTTGTGTGATTCATCTAGCCAAAAGAAGAGATGCCACACTTTGTACAGCTAATCTTTTTGCCATAAGTATGCTGGTGTTTCCCACAGCAAAGACAGGTTGTATCCTTAAACACCTGTGTCCTGGATACCCAGGTACATGTACATGAATGAATCTTTGGAACAAGAGTAGCCAACTTACTACATCAAAATCCCATCAACCTCAGCAGCATGGCCCTGCTCAGGGTTGATGGGAACTGCAGTCCAATAACATGAGGAGGACACCATGTTGCCCACACCAGGCTTAATGGAAGGCTGCTTATGTGTCGTTTACACTTGACACAATTGTATACAAAACACCAAAGTGAGGGAGGTACCAATATCAAACACAAATTGCCACCTAAGATGCAGAGTTGTTCACAGTCAAAAAGGTTGAATTGGTGAGGTTAAAATGTCACTATTTATGCGAACATCAGTGTGAAGGAAAGATGCCCTGGAAATCTGAGCACATTTAGTTAGGTGCTTTACAGAATGACTGCAATTTAGAAATTCAGGGCCATGTAAATCACGACTGGGGGAACCTGTGGCCTTCCAGATGTTGTCAGACTCCAACTCCCATCAGCCCTAGCCAGCATCGCCATTTCTCTGGGGTCATGGGAGTCGTGGTCCAATAACCTCTAGGGGGTCAGAGCTTTCCCCCACCCCTGATGTATCACTTCAGAGAGAATTTTCAAAGACCACTGTCATAAAAGATTTAATAGCTAGCTCCCCCAAACTGGATCTGAACCATGTCATGGATGACTGTGTTGCTCCCCTGGAGTTGCACCAGGAACCCTGACGCAGGAATTTCATGAAGTGCAGAAACTGTGGGCCAAATGACAGATGGCTTGAAGATGTAATGCAAGTTGCTACTTGAACTGGTTTTACCACCCAAACCCTTGGCATTTCCTTAATCCTTGCCTTGACACACAGACAGTATTAGAGGTAGATGGACATTGGATAGGGACCAGAATGCCTGATTTCTAAACAGCTGGATGAGTGGACAGACACTAACAAGGTCCTAAGGAAAATAATTTAATATACTTAGCATTTATGCAGTGCATTTAAAAGCAGGATAAATATTCCTCACCACAGTCGTGTAAGGTGGCTCAGTATTAATAACCCCATACTACAGTTGGGGGTGACTGAGCCTGGAAACAGCAGCCTGCCCAAGTCCAGCCAATGAAGAAAGAATTGAACAGCTCACAACTCACACTCACAGTGCCAGACCTTTATATTTTTGCAGCCTTCCACATCTCAACTATTTAGGATTTAGGTCTGAACTTTTAGAGAAGCTGAGTTGGCTAAAAGCTTTGCAGTTAAGCAGGGAACAGGAGAGTATTACCTGGAGTGTGAGGTAATCAGCTAAAATCTGGAGGGGATGGTCAGAATCAGACAGTCCATTTATCACTGGGATTGTGGCTTGTTGTGCCAGCACCTCCAGATCAACGTGTTTATACACTCGTGCCAGGATTGCGTCTGTCATGGTTGACAACACCCTTCAGAAAGCAAAATAAATGTAAAGCCCACTCAATTTTTCATAGAAAATTAGTGCTTTAATAATGGTTAATCTGCCTGAATAATTTTAAGTGCTTGCACAACATGGTTAAATACAGATGGTTTAAAATGTAGACTGCTAACCACTGAAAATATTTTTTTAAAAAATAAGGCAGTGAAAAGAGAGAGAGAGAATTAGAAGACAGAAATATCAATGAACTGTTTAATGTAAATAAAGTTTGTGATTTTCTTGTTTCCAGCCAAGCAATACTTGGGCATGGACAGTTTATGCTATAAACTACAGAACTAGTTTTTCTCCTGATTTCATTCTGAGGAATCTTCTGAGAAGATTCTGTGTACAAACAAAACACGGTGAGTACTTTCACCATAGACTCACAACCCAAACTGTGCTCTGAGGGTGAGGGGCCCCAATAAGCCTGCATGCCACAGTACAAATGACAAGAAAATGGTGAATTCCAGCTAGCCCGGCAAAGCCAAGACCCCATCCTGCAACTTCAACAACTTCTTATACCTCTTTCTAGGAAGGTTGGACCACCAAGGCCTGTTTTTGAATTGCAAGGATTCTGTTTCCATCTGAAAAGGCCTTTATAAGAATACAACATCAATAATTTGGTGCCTGAGTTTGCCTGTTTTCTCCTCCCTCTTCCTTTTGTGTCTTTATCTTTTTAGACCTAAACCTGAGGGCAAAGGTTGTGTTGCTTTTATTGATCTAAAAGCCACTCTGGGAACCTCTCTGGCTGAAGAGCAGGGTGTAAATACATAGGATGCATAGTAAAATCTTCATGCATCCTAAGTTTTGAAAGTTGCTGAATTCAAGCAATTTTAGTGCTTTTGTAAGGCTGCAATCCCGGACATTACCGGGATTTCAAAGGCAAAATTGATGTCCAGGGGGAATTTCCGAAAGGTGACACTTTGTCCTGGATCAAGCCCATTTTGGACATTCCTAAAAACAATATGAAATATGGCAACCCTAGCTTTCATAATCTAAATATAGAAAGGAAATAACAGTCACACAAGGTCTCGTACAAACCGTGCTGTGTCAGTGATACTTTCATTAATGCCCAGGTGAATATCTTGTGTTGTGAGGAAACAGGGATGGCCACCAAGGACAGCAAATCCTAAAATAAATTCAATGATTAAGACTTTTACCTTTGTCATTTCAAAGTATTATGGCAAGTCATACTACATGTCTTCTCCCTTAGAACTGCAGACATGGGGATAATTTGACTTATGTCTTTTCCCACAGTCATAAAGCTGCAAGAGCCCTCCCCTATCCCAATGGCAAATCTATATGTGAACCAAATACAGAAGAAAATAGCATTCAGAATTTCATTAGTACCAAAGAATATTTCAAGTTTTTATTTTTAAAAGAGAAGTTTATATAATTTTTATGAGTCTTTTAAAATGTTATCATGTTGTCAAAGACCTGAATGCCATGTTCTTATCATGGATGCATTTGAATAATCTTAGCTCTGAACTATCAGCTTTTAGCAGGGCCTGCTCCACTGGCCTGGCTAAAAGACTAGCTACCATTTGCCTCCTCCACTGTTTCCAATCAAGGTGGTTGTAACAAAAGCAATTATATAACTTGAAGAATTAGTATCCAAGTTTGTTTTCCTCCCTCTGCTCCCTCTGTTTTACCTTTTGTGTCGGATCTTATAGAGTTTGTAAACTTGTGGTCAAGGACTGCCTCTTTCTATAACCTCTGTACATGCCAGAACAATGTACAAGTTACATGTGTTGAAGATCTCACAGAGAGATATGCATAATCTTTTCTCTATTGATGCTGTTTGTAATAACCAAACCTGTTATTCTTTTTTACTGATCGTCTTCTACACAAGCATCTCAAGGCAATGTACAATCAAAACATCAAAAACAGTTAAAAACACAAAAAGCAGATATATTTTGAAAACTAAAAAAAACAAAATTATATTTTAGAAATCTTACAACAACACCACGCATCTGTCAACATATCTTCTGGGAACATGCTCATAATATTTTCTGGGATGAAGCATTATTTTTAAAGGTACAAGGTACAAAAGTATAATCTTGCCAGCTTTTAAACCTGTCTTGGGGTCGTATACTAGGAAAATTTGAATCCTTACCAGCAGATGGCACCACAACTATTGTCCTAAGCCAGTGGTGTCCAAACTTTTTTCAAAGAGGGCCAGATTTGATGAAGTGAACATTGCTCCCCACAAAAATTGTTGGGTTTAACTTACATTTACACTTAGGTGTTGAGGAGACAGAAGTTCAGCCTTCATGGCATGTAACCATGGCTCAGCATCCTCTGAGGTTAAACTTTGGACCTCTTGGAAGCTTGAAGGTTTCCAAACCTTCTCTGAGTTACTAACAACAGCTGTATCTACTTTGACTGTTTTAGCAAACTCTTCAGCGTACCTTTTGGGTGGTTTACCCTTTGTGGCTCTTTCAGATCCGCGTACTATACAGTGGTACCTCGGGTTAAGAACTTAATTCGTTCTGGAGGTCTGTTCTTAACCTGAAACTGTTCTTAACTGAGGTACCACTTTAGCTAATGGGGCCTCCCACTGCCACCGCACAGCCGCCACGTGATTTCTGTTCTTAACCCTAGGTACTATTTCTGGGTTGGTGGAGTCTGTAACCTGAAGCATCTGTAACCCAAGGTACCACTGTACATAGGCCTTCCATGCTACATTTCTCCTCTTTAGGAGAATGGTAGCCTGTGTGGGAAGGCCGGGTCTTCCTGTTATATACCTGCTGGGATTGACAAGGCATCTGACCTTCACCTGAATCTCATAGCTCTCCTGACGAGTGCTTTGGACTGTCCACCAGATAGCAGGCTCTCTGCTATTCAAATTAGGCCCCAGTGTTTTAGTTACAATCCCCTTCTCAATTAAGTAATCAATTTTAATCTAGAATTTAAATTCTCAAAACTTTCTTATTTGTTAATTCGAGCAAGTAAACTACTGCTCTCACTTCGTTACAAACAGTATTTCTACCTGCAACACACTTGAGCGAACCTGCTCCTCTTCCTTTCACAGATATTTTGTTGCCATTTGCAACTGTGGCTGCCTCTGATTAGTTATCATTTAACTCTTGGGGGAAATAATTAGCATCACATGTCATGTGCATGGAAGTTGCCGAACCAATTAACCAACTAGAAGGATTACTGTTAATAGCACCAGTTTTCCTAGTTTGCTTTCTGTTGCCACCTGGAACTTTTCTTTATTAGTGCCACTTTGTTTTGTATGATTCCTTGCAAATGAAGGAAAACATCTTTTCTGCTTGTATATGTTGATAATATAATTTTGGTTACTGAGGACAAACAAGACTGTACAAAAACAAGATTGGGTGCAGGCCTGGCCAGGACATAGGCGTCCTGACTGACAAATGTGACCTGTGTGCTTGCTTGCTTGATTAACAGCCGTTGGGAACTTCAAGGTCCCTGGGTCAAGGCGGTGGTCACCCCTCTGTCACCGCCATCACTGCAGCATCAATGTCCCTAACATGTACTGTAGGATTATTTATTTATTTATTTAGCCACACACCCCCGGGCCAACCAGATTGGTCGACCCAAGGAGTGACGCAGCTGGGGACTCCCTAATGGCACGGGGGCTTGCCACACACCCTGCACAGAGGAGAAAGCTTGTGACCAGCCCGCATAAAGGAAATGGCTTTGGTGGCCAAGTGCTCGGGGGCCGCAATTGATTGCTTTTTCAAAATTGCCTGGCAGACTGTTTGAAAGAGCCCGGGGGCTGCAAGTGGGGGCTGGACTTTGGACATGCCTGTCCTAAGCTGAATATTTTGCAGAATTAAATGTTTATTAAAGCCCCCAAAGAGATAACATTCTGTATACCGAGTGCTTTTTTTCTGGGGGTACACAGGGGTATGTATACCCCTAAACGTTTTGTGAATCTTTGTACTTTTGTCCATTTCCTATATTGATCTTCCCCGATTTGAACTATAAAATGGAGATTTTCTTGAGACAAAATGAGAGTACCCCCTAAACATTTTTTTTAGAAAAAAAGCACTGTGCATACCCAAACATGCTTAATATGCAATGTTAAGTCTTGTTGGCTTAATGCTGGTTGTGTTGTGCCCATTACTTTCTGTTATAAATTCCATTTTGACTTGATTTTAATGGTCAACTAGATGGCTCAACTACTAATGGCTAAGTAACAACTTTTAAGGAATTTCCAAACTTCAATTTCATTTTTCTTTCGTTTTGTCTTCTTACTTTGAATAATGTTGTTTCATCATATGCAAGTAAATAATATACAGTTAATACAGAAGGCTGTATTTACTGTCAAATTCTTGGCTTGTTTTCACCTGTCTCTGTAGATAATCTAGTCCTTGTACTTCTTTTCTCAAAAATCATAGCTAATGCTTTTCCTTGCAGCAAAGGCAAATACTGAAAAACAGGAAGGAAAAGAACTTGTGACACACTGGTAAGAACAATAAATATTTTTGAACTTTCTGCTTTACACTTGAAAGTCATTTCGAATACTACCACTTGCAGGGTGTGAGGTCCTTTTAGTATATACAGGACACAATTAGGCTCCATCTCAGTTGTTTGCTTTGTCTACAGTCCTAACCCTATTTGCCTGAGAGTAAGTCCAGTTTAATTCAGTAGGGCTTCTGAATAGAGTTACATTTTAGGTCCTGGGAACGGCTTCTTCCTAATGGTTAATGTGGCTTAAAGGTAAAGGTAAAGGGACCCCTGACAATTAGGTCCAGTCGTGACCGACTCTGGGGTTGTGGCGCTCATCTCGCTTTATTGGCCGGCGTACAGCTTCTGGGTCATGTGGCCAGCATGACTAAGCCGCTTCTGGCGAACCAGAGCAGTGCACGGAAACACCGTTTACCTTCCCACCGGTACCTATTTATCTACTTGCACTTTGACGTGCTTTCGAACTGCTAGGTGGGCAGCAGCTGGGACCGAGCAATGGGAGCTCACCCCTTCGCAGGAATTCGAACCGCCGACCTTCTGATCGGCAAGTCCTAGGCTCTGTGGTTTAACCCACAGCGCCACCTGCGTCCCTAATGTGGCTTAAAAAGGTAAAGGTACCCCTGCCCGTACGGGCCAGTCTTGACAGACTCTAGGGTTGTGCGCTCATCTCACTCTAGAGGCCGGGAGCCAGCGCTGTCCGGAGACACTTCCGGGTCACGTGGCCAGCGTGACGAAGCTGCTCTAGCGAACCGGCACCAGAGCAGCACACGGAAACGCCGTTTTCCTTCCCGCTATAAAGCGGTACCTATTTATCTACTTGCACTTAAGGGTGCTTTCGAACTGCTAGGTGGGCAGGAGCTGGGGCCGAACGGCGGGAGCTCACCCCGCCGCGGGGATTTGAACCACCAACCATGCGATCGGCAAGTCCTAGGCACTGAGGTTTTACCCACAGCACCACCCGCGTCCCTAGATTAAGCTTAGAGTGGCTTAATTACAACACAGTTGGAGGAGCTGGCCAAATCCTAGAAGTTCTTGCCAAATTGAAATTAAAAAAAGTGTAACTATTCAAAACCTGATAAAACCTAAGAATACAGGTTTGAATTTTGAAAGTATTTAATATTTCACTTTTGTATCTTACTTTAAGGGCTCCATTAGAAAAATGAAATCTTAATACTTGTTTCAGTCTAAGGCAATTATCCTGTCAATTTGTCACATTCAGGACTTCTGTGCCTTGGAGGTGACCTAGTTACTACCTTAGTTTCTTTACTCCCTCTAGTGCTGCTCTGCATGTAGAATTCCACTGAAGCTTTACACACCCTGTCCCCGCCAATATGCTGAGAGCTGACCTGACATGTAAACTGCATATGTGCATTCACACACACACACACACACACACACACACACGACACCGACTCAATTGCCCCTCCCCCAACTGGGAATGCTGGTGTGTGTGTGTGTGTGTGTGAGTGAGTGTGTGTGTGTGTGTGTGAGAGAGAGAGAGAGAGAGAGAGAGAGGATATAAATGTGATTCCCCTACCCCAGATAATTGTAAGATAGGAGAATATGCCAAAGATGTTTTTCATCATCATACATTTCAGTTCTGGTTAGATTTATATTTCTAGAATATGGTAAGTTTTCTTTTTCTTTCTTTTTAACATTGAAACCCCAAACAATTTCTCAAACACAACCCTTCTAAACCTTGCAGGTGGAGGGTAGGGATCTTCATTTCACCTTGAAGATCACATGGTCTACTTCCCCCAAGGGTAGGCAAACAAAGGCCCGGGGCCCTGATCCTGCCCAATTGCCTTCTATATCCGGCCGGCAGACGGTCCTGGAATCAGCGTGTTTTTACATTAGTAGAATATGTGCTTTTATTTAAAATGCATCTCTGGGTTATTTGTGGGGCACAGGAATTCGTTCACCCCCCCAAAAAAAAACATAGTCCGGCCCCCCACAAGATCTGAGGGACAGTGGACCGGCCCCCTGCTGAAAAATTTTGCTGACCCCTGACTTTTCCTGTCCTCTCCTTCCTACCATCAAGGATTCAAATCCCAAACTAGGCAGCACCCACATTTGTGTTTTAAAACAAAGCTAGGTAGTTCTTTTTATAAATCCGGATTGAAGCTGAATTCAGGGAAAACACATAAAAACACAGTATTTCCTAAGAAACCAGAAGGCAGATACATGATAGCTATGGATTGTGGCTAAGGTCATGTGTACAACTAAAAAGACATGAGGGTAAGAGAATTCATAATTCAAATGTTACATACCTCTCCTTTACATTTGATTCTTTCCTTCAGATCTGCTGCCACCCACAACAAATATTTGATGTCTTCAGCTGAATAATTTTGCAGTGTCAGAAGGTCCTGGCCTTTCAACTGGGTGGGAGTTTTAGTAGGTTGTGGCCCATGCCTGTATCTCCAAGGGAAATGACAAAAGAAGTTCAACTACCTCATAATTCAGAATTTTGTATTCTGAAATAACCACTGTCAAGTTGTGGTCCCAGATTATTGGCTCAAAGGCACAACGCTCTACAAATGCATGGCACCAGGATACAAGTGAACAGTTGAGTAAATAATCAAGAAAAATAAAATAATTTGTTGTTCTTCAGTATTATATATATGCATATTGCTACTATGGAAACGTGAAGAATTACACTTGGGGAAACCACTGCTGATGTGTGCATGGGGTAGGGGGAGATTCTGCCTCTGTTTGCACTATGTGGCACTGTCACTACTTTTACCATGAGTGGCTGGGGAAACTCAGCCAGATGGGCGGGGAATAAATAATTTATTATTGTTTGTTGTTACCATCACTACCCCTACACCCCCACTCCCCTTATCAGAACAAATGGTGTTGTGTTTATATATTAATAATGGGACTGTAAGTCATTTGAAAATTATTGTTCCCTTCATTTATATGCTTCCATTAAAATTACCAAAATAATAATAACAATTTCCCGGTGTTCTACAATGCACATTCCAATAATAAACAAAAAAAGATCAGTATGCTCACAACATTTGCTTTCATACATCCACATCCACACACCCCAGTAGTCACACAATATCCATTGGTTTTTCCATATCTGCAATAGCTAGGGATTTGAACAATGCCATTCAGATACTGTGGTCATATCAGGAGCCTTCCTAGTTAACATTTTTGCTGCTGCAAACAAGTATTCTGTCAGTATTTAACAAAACAAGTGAAAACAACAAAAGACATTTAACAAAATAATAAATGATTCCAGTTTATTCTTTATAAAGTTATGGTGCCATCAGGGCAGGACTTTGAAACAGAAATCCAGAGCCCCACTCAGCAGGATGTGCAACAGATATTTCTAAGGGTGCTCACTCCCACCCCAACAAAAAGAAGCCTTCACATGATCACAACTATTCCAGAGAGAGTCGGAGCTATTGATAAATAATAGAATACAATTCTATTGGGTTTGAAATAAGCATGCAAATTTATTTCAAGTATATGAAATTGTCAGACAACATCTGCAAACAAAAAACAGTGATGGTAATTGCTCTGACATATCAATTTTCCTATATAATTTCTTTGCTTTAGTTTCTTGGTTTATGAATGAATGCTGCTAAGCAACAGAGACAGATTATGATTTGCCTATATCAGCAGTCTTGTAGTTGCTAAAAACTGGAGTAGACAGCCCAGGATGTTCCACCAGCTCTGTTGTTGTGTGGCATTTAAACACTTACCGAATACATTGCACCAGATGCTTGCTGATCTTGCTTGCATTTCCAACATTGAACAGGGACCGAACATTAAACAGCATATTTACCAAATGCTAAGATATAGTTAGAGTCACCTTGTTAAACTTAGGTGAAATAGTGAATGCATTCAGTGAAAGAGCAAAGGTAAAACTATCACGAGACAGTGCTATCTCTAGCAGTTGTGAGATCTGCTCAGGAATTCACGGTATATAATCTTATGCAAATACTATGGATAAGTGTCATTAGTTAGGAGAGTTGCGAAACCCATGGGTTTTGTCCTTAAACACACAGCAAAATCTACAGCCCAGTCGAGGCATTTACTAGGCTGCCAAAGGTCTTCTCATGGGCTACTCCCTCCTCTCCACCACAGAGAGACCTACATGTGATGCCAGGTATTAAGTTCAGACACCAAGTCTTACAGGTGTGATGGACTTGCTCCACACACTCATAGCCTTACAGAAACCCAATTCATGCAGTCTTCTTTCATCTCTCCTATTTATGGGGGATAACTATTATATGAATTAGGCATTTATTTATTTTTTATATTTTTATTTATATGGAAAAAATATACATCAAAAAGAAAGCAAATTGAGGAACTATTCCATGTTTTTAAAAGGCTGACATTCAATAGGTGCAGCTTCTTTCATAGTTAAAGATAGATATATTTAGCCTGGGGGTAGGACTAGCCTCCAGCTGTTTTTGAACTACAATTCCCATAATCCCTGACCACTGGTCTTGCTAGCTAGGGATGATGGGAGTTGTAGTCCAAAAACAGCTGGAGGCCCAAGGTTGGGAAACACTGGACTAGAGGACCCTTGGGATCTCTTCCAACTCTATGAATCTGTGAGTCTTCGATTTCCAACAGTTGGCGAAAGAAAGCCAATGTTACACAGTGCTTCGGACTAAGGAGACTTTGCCCAATTCCTGCTAACCCTTGAAACTCGCCGGGTGACCCTGGGCCATTCACTCCTGGGAGTTCCTGCACCTCTTTTTCTAGGGAAGAAAAGCGCTGGTTGTGAGGATAACATTGGCACAGCGAACAATGATCTAACGGGAGGTGGTGTTGTTGTTCAAAGGCATCAATTCTTCGGCGATCAGCCTTCTTTATGGTCCAGCTCTCACTTCCATACATCACTACTGGGAAAACCATAGCTTTAACTCTACGGACCTTTTACTATACGGGAGGTATAAACGTGTAATAAATGAAATGCCCTTGGAAAGTTTCCAAGTGGGAATGCCCCCTGTTCTCGGTCCCCACCATTTTGCAATGCTCATGGAGGAGTCTTGCTAATTGCTATTGAACTATTCAGGCGGTAACTTTCGTAAAAGCAATATTTTGAGGAGGGTTTTTTGTTCCTTTGTTTTTTAAAAAGAAAGCCTCTATGGTACTTGGAGATGACGCTCTACCCCGGCTTGCGGCGACTCTCTATGGTCGCTGCTCTAGCGGCCTCCGTTGCTAGTGGCAGGCGGTTTGTTTACTTCCGGGATCCAGGCTGCTCGCGCTTCCTTCTGTCTCCTAGGCGCCTCCCCCTCGAGCCTGTCATGGGGGAGGCCGAGGAGCAGGTGCCCGGTGAGTCCCAGTCCCGTCCCCCCCTCGTCTCGGGAAGCTAGTTGGTTGGTGCCGGCGCCCCTCGCCTGCTTCTGTCGTCATCGGCGGGCCCCGCGAGGCGAGCGCGCGGCAGGTTCCCCGCCGCCTCTTGTTGTCTTTCTCTCCTCTCCCCCACTTTGCTCTTTATTTCCTCCGTATTGCATGGTAGAGGCAGGGAGAAGTAGGGAATTTGCTTCAGACTCAGGAGAGTTTGAACCATTTCCTAGCCCGTGCTTGCTCAGAAGTAAGTCCCATTTACTTCAGGGACTTATTTCCAAGTAACTAAAACGCCCTCAATGTTTTCAGCCCTATTATGCAGAGTGGCACTTTGTATTTCAGGGCGTTATTTTTAGGCCACATGTTTCATTCCAGATGAGTAAAGAAAATGGTTAAAAGGTCAGATATAGGGCCTGTCACACACTTCTTCATGTAGTGTACACTGGTACCTTGGGTTACATATGCCTCAGGTTACATACGCTTCAGGTTACAGACTCCGCTAACCCAGAAATAGTGCTTCAGGTTAAGAACTTTACTTCAGGATAAGAACAGAAATCGTGCTCCGGCGGCAGCAGGAGGCCCCATTAGCTAAAGTGGTGCCTTAGGTTAAGAACAGTTTCAGGTTATGTACTTAACCTGAGGTACCATTGTATACTCAAACTCGGAACTCGCTCCCACAGCAGGCAGTGTGACTTGGAAGGCTTTTTAGAAAAGAAAGAATTGGACACATTCAAGGAGGATGTGTCTATTCATGGCTACTAGCCAGAATGACTAGGCTCTGTTTCCATGGTTGGAGGCAATATGCATCTGAATACCAGTTACTGGAAACTGCAGAAGGGGATAGTGCTCTTCTGCCTGGGTCCTGCCTGCCAGCTTCCCACAGGGTGGCCATGGTGAGAACAGGACGCTGGACTAGATGGACCATTGGCCTGATCCAGCAAGCTCTTAAAATGTTCTTATTTGCAAAGACTCGTTGAATTAAAGTGTTAAAAGTAACTGGTTCCCACTTTTTTATTTTGGCCTCACCTGCTCCCAGGAAAACTTTTTAACAGAGTGATACTATTAATGCGCACCCAGAAGCAAATCTCATAAAAGTTCAGTAGGGTTTGCTCTGAGATAACTTTAGGATTGCAGCCTTTGTTTGTTTTCTTGCTACTTGTGTTTCCAATTTGAAATAAGGAATCTCACCTGTACCTAACAGCACTGCTTGTCATATCTGATAAAGTATTTGGACAATTTAATAAAATATTTGTCTCTATATTAGCAGAACTTTGGACACCAAGGGCAGAAAAATACACCCAAGGATTTTGGAATCTTAAAATACCTGAAGGGCTGTTACGTAGTTGCGTGTTTTCCCCTGTTTCAGCTTGTAGGTTGCAACCAATTGGTTCAAATTACAAGAACATTTTAGATTAAGCATAAGAACTTCCTAACAGCATGAGCTGTTCAGCAGTGGAGCAGACTGCTTCTAAAGGTGATACACTCTCCTTTTTTAGAGATTTCTAAGCAGAAGGTGAGTGTGCCATAGCAGTGAATTTCCTGCATCAGGACCAAGCTGAACTAGATTACTTTTGAGGTTTCTTCCAGATGCCATTCTCTCAGAAAGAATGCTGTTAGAAGTAAAGTATGAAATAGAAATATTTAGTATGAAATATTTAGGCTATTTTTTTCTTTTTTAGAATCTGGTGCTGTATTCACATTTGGAAAAAGCAAATTTGCCGATAATGTGCCTAGCAAGTTTTGGTTTAAAAATGACAAGCCTTTTCACATATCATGCGGAGATGAACATACTTCTGTTGTAACAGGTTAGTGTTTAAGGTTTTCTTTTAATTACTTTCTGTAGCAGCATTTCAGGAAAAACAAGTTAGCATTGTACTAGTATTTTCACAAATTCAAAATATTTTATTGTGAAGGTTCCTGTCCTAATCACACTGTGGTAGCAGTTTGAACCCACTTACTTGAGAGTAAGACCTATTGTATCCAGTAGGATATATGTCAAAGAAAGAATGCATTGAATTGCACTATGAAGGCCCAGTCCTGAGGTGGACTTGGATGTTTATACAGAAGTAATGAAGTTTGCAAGATGGTAACATGACCTTCCTGTGTTTGTGAAATGGAAGTTTTATTTATTTATATTTTATTGAAGTAATTTCAATTAAAAGAAATAAACTAATACAGAAATAAGAAGGAAAAGTGAGGGGGAGAAAAAGAACAAAGATATATATAAAAGATATATAGATATACACACACAGACAAAAAAACAACAATATAAGATACTCCCATACATTCTTATTTAAATTTATATAGTGTTATTATCCTAATACTTACATAAATGTGAAATGGAAATGTAGGTTTCATGTTGAGATATGTGCCATGAGCTTTGTTTGCATCTCCTTGGTCTAAAAACTTGAAAATGTATCATAAAAAAGCTGTTTCTTGATTAATTCAAAATTCAGTCTCTCGGTGATTTACTTTATACATATTTATCCAATATTTTCTGTCATCAAGAGAAGGGAAGCTTCTGAGAGCAGCTTGCAATCTCAAAAAACAATAAGCAATAAAGCAATAATTGTTACTCCTAAAGTAAATTTCACAAGATCCTTGAAATTGTATACTTGGTGATAATACCAAAATTCAGCAGCAACTGAAGCCATGCAGTTTACAAGTCATCATTAACCCAGGACTAGAACTGGCTGAAATATGATGATCAAAGACTTAAAAGCAAGTGCTGATGTTCAAAGATCATCTGAACAATCTCTTTGGGAGACCAGTCCACTGGTATCAATTTTGAAAAATACTTACAGTACAATCCTTATCCTGGATCCACTGGCTGTCAGAGTAAGGTTACCAGATTTTTTTCAATGAATCCGGGGACACTTTTCAGCTTCCCACTAAACAAATGGATTTTGTCAGAGGACTGCTTTGTAAATCCGGGGACTGTCCCCAGGAAATGGGGACGTCTGGTAACCTTATTTAGAGTGGGGTGACTTTATAATTATTGTCAGCCTGGATAGCTCAGTTAGAGCATGGTTCTGATAATGCCAAGGTTGCAAGTTCGATCTCCATATGGGACAGCTGCATATTCCTGCATTGCAGGGAGTTGGCCCAGATCAGTGTTCCCCAACCTTGGGCCTCCAGCTGTTTTTGGACTACAATTCCCATCATCCTTGACCACTGGGCTTGCTAGCGAGGGATGATGGGAGTTGTAGTCCAAAAACAGCTGGAGGCCCAAGGTTGGGGAACACTGGCCCAGATGATCATGAGGGTCCCTTCGAACCATTGAAGCCAGCTCCACGGGGCCGTGGGTGCTTGGACACCCTCAATAATATTGAGGGACACCCAAAAAGTCAATGAGAAAAGCCAGGCGGCAGTGGCCCTGCCTCCAAGAGAAAAGCAGTTCAGCTCTGCCCTCTGCAGCCAGCAAGCGAGGCACCATTTCGGGGGGGGGCGTGTCTCTACCTCTGAGTCTGAGACCCTCACCATGGAAAAGAGTGCCTAACTGGCTGCAGAGAGGAGGAGCCACCAGCGCCCCCCTCCACAATGCAGACGTGCAACGTCACACACACATGCCTGCACATAGTGTCTGTGACTTTGCACATCTGCTTTGCTCAGCGGAGACCCACAATCCTGAGGGTGAGATGGCACCCCTGCTTCCAGCTCTACAATATGATTCTGTGTGTTTTTGTAATATTTTGCAGTATATGAAGTGTACATGATTATTATTTGAGCAGGGGAGGATCAATGGCAAAAAGCCAGCCAAAGTTATTTCACATTTTTAGAGAACCTTAAAGCAAACTCATTGGTGATCACCCTTTTCCCCCCTTAATATATTCTGTAGAAAATGGTAAACTTTACATGTTTGGAAGCAATAACTGGGGTCAACTCGGATTTGGAACAAGGAATACTGTCAACAAACCAACTTGCGTGAAAGGTTAGTCTCACATATGTGGTTTTATAACAGATGCCGTAATTGAAAATGAGCGGAAGAATGAACTCAATCGCTAATACTTATGGTGATTCCTAACACCACTACTATAATAGCTCTCACTACATTTGGGACATAGGCACAACTTTCATATGAGAACTTTTAACAGCTATTGCTCCACTTTATTTAAAAGAGAGACAGAGAGAAAGGAAAACAAAAGGCTTTTGAGAATTGAAATAACCACAGTTAGAATATAACCACAGACAAAGCCTTTCAACTACAATTTATGAAATAGTAGAAAAAGCTAAAGAAGAAGATACATGCGAGTTTTTTTTAGCAACAAATAACTTGCAAAGCAAGGGGGTTTCTTTTGTAGAAGGGTAATGACACTGATAAATTATTTTCATATACATTTTTTATTTAAGGCAAAGAAAAAACTAATATAGCTCTAACTCTTGACAAAATGCATAGTATTTTTATTTCTCCCATCATTTTAAGATTTAAGGTATTTGACAATCCGACGTTTTCTCCTGAAGTATGGGAATAAATCTATTTGAAAATATACCTTCTTTTATGATACAAGCCCATCCTAAATAACAGGACATGTGCTGTTTCCTGTGGTTTAAACTAAGAGGATGAGGAGTGAAAAATCAATGTTTTGGTTTGTTTCTGGCCAGGAACACTTAAGCAAAGAGTATCAGCCTTGATTTACTCCCAGGTTAAGTGTGTATAGGACTGTGGCCTTAATGATCCATTATTATTATTAAAATGTCATTGAATTAGAACAGGTTCTATGGGCAAATTTGCAAAATGGAAAAACCGCAGCCAATAATACATTGCAAACTATTGTGTTGGTTGCTCTAGAATGAGTTCAAACCTAATTTCAGTGGCTAATGTGCACCTGTGGGTTCCATGCTGGTAACTTCTAGACTGGAGTATGGAAGGTCTAGCTTTTTGCCATTTTCCCACTTACCACTGATTTATGGTTAGTAGACAGTATGTAAAGTTGGAGCTTAATACATTCAACAATATTTTTTTAAAAAATGGTAACCACTTTCTATTTAATCCTCAGCTTTAAAACCAGAAAAAGTAAAACTAGCTGCTTGTGGGAGAAACCACACCTTGATTTATACAGGTACGTCATCTATATTTGCACATCAAATATCTTATGGCCGCTTTCTGTGCACATTCTAAGAAATAGTCAGAACCTTAAAAAAAACAAAACCCATTATGTGCACCTTTTATATTGAACAAGACACTTGGTCCATCTGCTGTAAAATGGCCAGATTTGACTGGCTGTACCTTTCCTGAGGCTTAAGACAGCCTTGTCATCTGAAATTCATTAACTAGAAAATCCTGTGACTAAATGTCATCTGTATGCAATCATAGTATGTGATCTACATCTAAGTTGTGACCCTCCCTAATCCTCACTGAATAATTTTCAACTATCCTTAATAGAGCTGATTTTTTAAAAACAATATCTTGGATAAGATTTGCTTAGCAGTAGCTAACCTGTTCAGTGTGGTTAACCCAAATAAACCTCTGGTTACATAGATCTTTCTGTGGAGATGGTAATAGCAAGGAAGTCAGCTGTTTTCTTATTGTGAATTCAGGTAGTAAATCTGATGCTGCCATCCTACTGAGATGGAAACATTCAAGGTAGCTCCTGTCAATAAATTCCTGCAAGGCATTTATCATTTATAGGAAATTCTCCTTTCCTTATCACGGTAGAATTTAAAGTCTTCAGTAATATTGTGAAATGAATAATTTTGAAAATATTTAGATTTGATTGCCATTCTTATGTCTGTTTTCCCTTGTAAATTATGTACATTTTTCATTAAACATGAATTCATTTTAATCAGGACCAAAAGGTGTCAGGTTAAACACGAGAAAGGCACATGTTGTGGTTAATTAATTTAATGCCCGTCATTAACATTTGTAGTTTGTATGTTTGAGCAAGATTGCATTTAATTAACTTTGGCCTGAGTACACATGCTAATTGATTCTCATTGCTAGCTGAGCCTTTACCTGTAGCACAGGGGGGCTAAATTGTGAATCTTCTGGTGTTGCTGAGCTACAGCTTCCCCAGCCCCATTGCAAATTGTCTCTCTCCGAGGTTCTTTTCCTTCTGTTTAGAAGGGAAGGAACAAAACAAGTCATTCCTAATTGTAAATATTGATTTCCAGCCATGAGCAGAAACTACTTTTACTATGCTATGCATATTCCAGTAGTATATTTTTGGAATGTAGAATCCTGCTGCAGAGCGATGATTCTTAAGAACTTAAATAGGAATTTCTACAGGCAGACTTTGAGCATTTGAGGGCACCAGGGATTGACCTTTTGTACATGGGTGAAAATAAACATGAGCTGGTCTGATTTTTTTAGGTTTTGCTGTTGCTTCAGATGAGAGTGTGCTTATTCTACATGTGCTTTTCTGTGTGCAGAACAAGGAAATGTATATGCTGCTGGAGGTAACAGTGAAGGGCAGTTGGGATTAGGTGACACAGAGGAAAGAAGCACATTTCATCTAATTAGTTTTTTTAGTAACCAGCACAAGATCAAACAGCTGGCAGCTGGATCCTACACGTCAGCAGCACTAACTGGTGAGCCCAACAGCTAACACAAATGGGGTGTGTGTGTGTGTGTGTGTGTGTGTTATTTGAGGCCTTTTATATTTTCCAGTTGACATTTGTGGAAGCCTGATAAAAAATTCACTTTGCATATATCCAAGGACAAATGTATTGTTGCAAATACTAGGTGAGAATTTGGCGATTTTGACAACTTGATACAAGTTTCCAGAAACATCCTTACTTGGTTTCTAGTTCTTGACTGAGGTACATCATTGAACAGCAAATGCTTTGCTTTGCTTAACTCTTTGGAAAGTATCCTGCCCTACAGTTTATTTATTGGGTTTTCCTATAATTTTAGGGATTTTTTTATGAGTATCCAAATATTATCAACCTATTTAGGTGTATAATAGCATATATTCAAGGGTGTCTTCATAGGCCCTTTGTAGTTTGACAGTTTGACTACCGCAGTCTCCTAGCTTTCAGATTGAACTGCTCCTAAATGTAGCCATTTTATGTGTAATTTAATTTCATTGCTGTCTTGATTTAAGAGAGAAATAAGTTTAGGAGGGCATAGCATTTAGCAATCTGTTTCCAGATACAACATGCTGTTTCTTATGCATTGGGGGGGGGGATCATGGTTCCAGTGAAGTTTTACTGTGATTTTTGAAATTCAACTCTCTATCATTTCATATACTATATTACAATATGCTTTTAAAATCCCCTTCCACCAAATTCCTAGGGTTTAAAACACCCTATGTTGTATTGCAAGGACTGCATTTCAGGAATCACAATATTGAGGTGTTGCTGTAAATTGGAAATGCCATGTGTGGGGTGTGCTAGCTCCACAACCTCATTCCAGTCGCCCTGCACAATTTCAGTGGTGAGTGTCTCATAGAGACTTCTGCATAATGTAGAATGCTGGAAATCAGGATTCTAAACTGCATGGGGAGCCCACATGGGTAGAAGTAGGCTCTGTGCTTCATACAGTTGCCCTCAAACATGTGGAGGGAAAGGGGTTTTGCAAAGCACAGCAGCCATGATGCAGTGGCCACGTAAGCCCTGAATAGGACTTGCGTGGCCACTAGATCATGGATCCTGGGTTTTGTAAAGCCAACTTATTTAAATAAGTAAATAATACACTTACAAAACTCTCTTTTCTTTTAAGAGGATGGACAGCTTTTTATGTGGGGGGACAATTCCGAAGGACAAATTGGTTTGGCTGATGAAGCTAATGCATATGTTCCTCATCAAGTGGATGTTGGTAAACCCGTTTCCTGGATCTCTTGTGGATACTACCACTCCGCCTTAATAACACGTAAGTGTGGAAATCTGGAGAGATGCAGAGGTATGGTGTACTTTCAATCATTAAATCTGATTATGCCCCTTATAGTAGTTTGGGATTAGATTACCTGTCATTACTTGGTTAAGAGTTTGGATTCTGTTTTTGCTTGGATATATGCTACTAATTTGGTGGTGGTCAGACTCTTATAAAGTATTGATCATGAACCTATTAATCTCTGCAAAAGTGGTTTGGGCTTATTATTTGGGGAAAACATAATCCTTAACATACAGATAGCTGAGATAAATAAACTGACAGATTCTGTAGATAGAAGGTATGGATTTTGAGCATTAACTACTGTAGTGGGGAAATGGAAATGGAATTTATTGACTGTTGGAATAAGATCAGTAGTCATATAAAGCTGGTAATGAATTTATTTCTGTAATCTGATTTTTCTGCAATTTGTGCAGAGTTGTTGCAATATAGTTTGATGATGATGATGAATAAACTAATCTAGTGATGGACCTGTAATCTAAAAATAAAGTGGTGGTGTGTTTAAGTTTAAATACAACCCTGTCTTATGTTGTTGTTGTTTAGTTGTTTAGTCGTGTCCGACTCTTCGTGACCCCATGGACCAGAGCACGCATTTGTCATAAAGGAGATACGCAAATAAATGCCTCTTTTGTCCTAGCCTTAGTCTCAGTCTTGCTGCTATGTTGTTTTCTTACAGGAGATGGAGAACTTTATACTTTTGGGGAGCCTGAGAATGGAAAACTGGGTCTTTCAAAAGAGCAACTGAAAAACTACAAGGTCCCACAACTTGTTTCTGGAATTTCTGGTAGGGCCAATAAGGTTGCCTGTGGAGGAGGACACACAGTAGTGCTTGCAGGTATACTAGCTTCTTGCTCCTCAAATTGTGGGCTCGTGTTTCAATCCCCACAATCCTAAACTGCTGAATCCACACATTTAAATGGGTCCACCTACATATGACTTAGCATATTGGATGCTGTATGTCAAAGATGGTGGAGACGATTATAAAATAGCTGCTTAGTTTCTGTGGAAATAATTTAGCAAAATTAATTCACAAGGTGTCAGTGGCAAATGGATGTAGTGATGGAAATTGTAGAGCAAAACTAAGTAAAGAAAAGTGATTTAAAAGTGATGGAAGAAGGGGCAGAATTGGCTAAGAAAAGGGACAATGTGAAGCATCTGTCTAGAGGCAGGTCCACACCATACATTTAATGCACTTTCAACACATATTTAAAGCACATGAGTTTCCCCCAAAGGTTCTTGGGAACTGTGGTTTTCCCCACACAGAAGTTCCCAGCATCCTTAACAAAGTATAGTTCCCAGGATTCTTTGGGGGAAGTCATGGGCATTAAATGTACATATTATGTGATTTAAATGTATGGTGTGGATCTGCATATGATCAGTGGTCCTCTTATATGATGTAGCGTTTTAGTGCTCGGTTTACACCATTTGCATGTATGCACAGAACTAGAACTAGTAGCTAAATTAGCTGTCAGTCTGGTGGTGATTTTACATAACCAAAGCAGAGACAGTGAAAAGACAACAACACTCAGGTCTTTGGCATGCTACTACTTAGGCTGAATCCTATGTGTTCTGGTTGATTCCTATTACTGACAACTAGGCTGAGATGTTAGTGAGACTAGACCCTTCATAAGCGAATAGGGGTAAAAGTGTTTACTGTTCTAAATAACATCTAACCCTCTTACTGAGGCTTTTAAAGAGGTGTGGCTTTATTTTGTTTCCTTGTTTTTTTGCTTCTGTATCTTCCAGCAGAGGGAGCTTTAATATTTTATTTAGTATAATATTTTGGGTTATGTAATATGATATTTTTACAATGATATGGGTTTAAATATATTGGTTATTCTCATTTAAAAAAATCTCTCTCTCTCATTACTTTTATTTTTAAGTACAAGGCCTGGTGTACACATCACATTGAACCATAGGCTAAAACAAAATGTGGTTTAGTGTGAACACATTGCATGTTGGTTCATGCTGCTCGGTTCCAGTGGTGCTCCACCTTCACTCCTGCTGTTGTGCAGTAGACATATGAAATGTTGTTTCCTCCAAACCACAAGCAGAAAATCAAGAGCAATTCTTGGTTACTACTCAACTACTCATTGATGGTTGGAAGAGACATACCTGTGTTCAGATGACATGACAAGTCACATTCTTCGGCATGCCAGGAATTGGGGAGGAACAGCATGGGAACCTTTGAGCAGTGTGCACTAGGAAACTTGGAGGATGAAAGACTATGGATAGAATATTAATCTCATGTATGTTTTTCAGAGGGGAAGGTCTACACATTTGGCCTTGGCCAATATGGGCAGCTTGGACATGGTACATTTATTTTTGAAATTTCTGAACCAAAGATAGTGGATTCTTTGAGAAAGCATAAAATCTGTAACATTGCCAGTGGGGAAAATCATACAGCTTTAGTAACAGGTATGTATGCGGTTAGCTGTGAAATGTATTTGCAATGCTATTGGTGTATTTTTGTGCATAATACAAATTTTTCCTATTTTTAAATCTGCCAGGTCACAAAGAGATACGTAAAACTTTTCCTGTGAAACATTTAAAATAAAATTTTCTCAAATTAAGACTCAGAACAGCTGAAAGGGACCCTCTGGGGCTAAGGGCAAGTTATATAAACAGAAACTCCAGGGAGTACCATTGAAGAAAGGAATTCTTCTATTGTTTGAATCAGTTGTTCCTGCTGAAGGGGCATTTCTGAGTTTAACGGAGCCTTAAGCAACAGGGGGACTCGGAAGAATATGTGTTTGTATTTGTTTGCGGTTCAGGAAAGCGTGGTAAGAGTGTCCTTTTGGTGGAATGGGGGAAGGATATGACTATGAGATTTTAAAAGTTACCAAATATTAAATATGTATAAATGGAGGTGACAAGACCCTGGTGGTCTTAAATGTATTTCATAGTAATTCTTATCTATATGTAGTTTATTAAACAAAACAAAAAGCCATGCAACATGTACAGCACAGTCCTATACTTGCCTCCTCAAAATGGATCTCAATAAATTCAATGGGGTATACTCTCTGGTGTGAGTATTGCAGTGACATTTGCTTAGTTCATATTCAGTGGCCAAATCATGGGCTGAGCGTTGGGTCGTGCTTGAGGTTTGTGTGCTCTTTCCTCCACAATGTCTCCTTCACATGCTCTGACATACTCCCTGGTGCAGGCAAGCCATAATTGGTAATTAAGTCTGAACTGGACAAACTGTGGTATGCCTACAAATTAGAATGGGAATCCATGGGTTCATGATGCATATGTGTGATTTAACCCATTCTTATGATTTTAATGGAAATTGCGAACCAGGCAAGAATATCAGTGGCAGCTGCTGAAGTGATTAGACAGGCTTAATGGGAAGCACTCTTTTCAGAAGAGTGCAAAACCTGGCTTGTAGTACTCAGTTACCAATCGTGAATATACATCTTAATTTAATGAAGTCATCAAGATCACTGAAAAAATCTCCACACTGTGCAATAAATATATTCACCAGATGTGTTTTCCTGTTCGTATGCTAATTTTATTTTAGCATAATTAATGTAATTCAGAAGATACATGACCCTTCTGCTAATGATGCTAGCGGTTTTTCTGCTGCAAATCTATTTTCTGATCAGCTTGCCTTCTCTAGTTTAATCAGCTTGTATGTACTTCCTATAGATTTGGCTCAGTAACTGTCCATTTTTCATGGCCTTAATGGTCCTAGTGGTTGATGAAGATTTAATATTGAAGGGTTAATACCTGCGTTGTAAATAGATGTTCGGGTTTTTAAGGTAAACTTGAGGAAGTGGGGTAATCCTGAAGGCTAGAATACAATATCTACTCTTGATACTTTGAGCACTAACTCCTTATTTTTACTGGTTCAATGGTTCCATTAGGAAGCAATTGACATGGAAAACTTGAGAATGTCAACATTCCAAAACATTCAAATGTAATAATATTATGAACATCATTTTCATAGCTGTATGTTTTACATTAGCCAGATTAACTTTTTTGTTGTCGTTTTCCTTCCTCTAGTGGAAAAACCTATGTTACAGGTTGAAATACTAATTTCAGAATTTTTGCTCTTGGAAAGAAAGTGATTCTCCTTTCTAATTAGTTGTTGTGGCTTCACCCACTGCTTTTTACACACTGCTGCATTACATGTTAGTAAACATGCTTCTTTCTCCACATTTAGAGAACGGCCTTATGTACACCTTTGGAGATGGACGGCATGGCAAATTAGGGCTTGGGGAAGAAAATTACACAAATCAGTTTTTTCCTACGCTGTGTTCCAATTTTTTGGGGTTTGCTATACAGTCGGTAAGGCCTCATTTTTTCTTCATGCTCTGAAATACTAATTCAGTATATCTCATGTTGTACTTAAAGGTACCATATTTAGAGGTCATCCATATGTTTATACCGTGCTATATTTTTTAATTGTAGATAAGCACTGGATACATTTGTATTTCTTGGTATGTTTTTTTTTTATAATAACTGGTTTACTTTTTCTGTTTAGATAGAAAAATAGATTTGTATGAGGTGTTTCTTTGTGATCAAAGCCAGTGCTGCACTGTGTGCACTGTAAACTATTTGAAGAAATGAACATCTTTTAAGGAAATTTCTTAGAGTCTACAGCAGATTCTTAGATTTCCGTATAGCAGTTGCGATATAAACCTTGCTACTTAATGGATTTTTTCACATCAAGGCTACGCCCAGCCTGTCGCTATTTTGCCAAAATAATCATATTAGGTGAGGTATCAAAATAAGTTTGCCAAAAAGGCACACTGTTTCTATCCCTTCCGCAATTGCTTCACAGACAGAGTGAGAGTGAGTGAGTTAAGTCTCCCTGAGACAATCACTTAGAAAAAGAGCACTACCAAATGGTAACCTCACACCAATATCTCATTTCTTTCCATTTAGAGTCTCATATTTGTCACGTTGACCTTGCTCAAAATACTATGATTTGGAAATGATGCATAACATGTGTTGAGGGACCGTAATGGTGAAAGTTCTGAAGATTGTACCAAATCATTAGGAGTGTACTTTCTCATAGGAAGGTTTCCCCTTCCTATGTACCTGCAAAGTTTACAGCCTCCATTAATCCCTGCATTGACTTTGTACTGTAGGTCTCCTGTGGTGGTTGTCACATGCTAGTTTTTGCCACACCGAGGCCTAAAGAACTGGGTGAAACTCATGTGTCAGACCAAAAGGAACACCACTTGTCTGCTGTGGTCTCTGAAGTGGGTGGAGATGCATTAGTAATAGATACCTTCCATCGGACGTTATCGGCACGCTTGCGGCGGAGAGCAAAGGTATATTTTAAACTGTTTCTATTGAGCTTCAAAAAACGTCCAAAGACAACATGATCACACCTAGTTGCTATGCCACAAATCACCATCGGGGGCAGTGCAGGCTGTATATGCCAAAGGCCAAGAGATTCACTAGGAAACACTTGGAGGAGAACTGCTTGACTTTCAATATTAAAATCTCCAGGCAGCTCTACAATAAAGTACTGAGATCCAAGATGGTAAACCCTCCCTAAGTTTTTTTTTAATTGAAGAGTGCTATGAAAATATCTGCATTATAAGTAAATAAATAAATAGCACATCAAACTTCCATGCTATAGTTGACTGGTAATTTATTGTGGTAATAATTCCTTTATTATGTCTTTATTTAACTGAACAGTAGGTGCAGAATCTAACTTGCATGATTGTAGTTTTACTTATACATGCAGTTTGAACTTACTATTGCCTTGGTATTTTCATCTGTCCTGAATCTGGCCAGGGAAGATCCAGCACACATTGTAGATGATTTCCTGACTTCAAGCATTACTGCACTGTAGGCAGATTCACAGCGCTCATTCTAGGGAAATGAAAAGCAAACACTGCCCTCAATCTACCCCTCATTGTATCACTGTCCTTTATTGGTTACCTTGAAGTGACTCAAAAGCTGCTATGCTTTCTTTTCACCCTTTCACAAGGACAAATCACCGGAACAGGTTAGCCGGCTGGTACGAACACTTCCTCCACTAGGAGAAGGTCCTTCAAAGCTTGCATCCTGTGCCATCAGCAACACTCTCCCCCTTGGTGTACTCAGATCAAACCACCTTGACTCAGAGGCAGCTGATGGAAGTCAAGGCACCCAATCTGCTTTGGATGGTGAAACAGGTAAACAAATTTTTTATCACCAGTTTATGTTATGCTCCTATAAATCATTTGTGGGGGGTTTTGAGCATCAGGGGTCCTTAAAACTGCAATGCAGTTATCACTTAGAGTCTCACTTGCTGATTAAATAATCAGTTGTAATGTTGTTGTTGTTGTTTAGTCGTTTAGTCGTGTCCGACTCTTCGTGACCCCATGGACCAGAGCACGCCAGGCACTCCTGTCTTCCACTGCCTCCCGCAGTTTGGTCAGACTCATGTTTGTAGCTTCGAGAACACTATCCTACCATCTCGTCCTCTGTCGTCCCCTTCTCCTTGTGCCCTCAATCTTTCCCAACATCAGGGTCTTTTCCAGGGAGTCTTCTCTTCTCATGAGGTGGCCAAAGTATTGGAGCCTCAGCTTCACAATCTGTCCTTTCAGTGAGCATTCAGGGCTAATTTCCTTAAGAATGGATACGTTTGATCTTCTTGCAGTCCATGGGACTCTCAAGAGTCTCCTCCAGCACCATAATTCAAAAGCATCAATTCTTCGGCGATCAGCCTTCTTTATGGTCCAGCTCTCACTTCCATACATTACTATTGGGGAAACCATGGCTTTAACTATACGGACCTTTGTTTGCAAGGTGATGTCTCTGCTTTTTAAGATGCTGTCTAGGTTTGCCATCACCTTTCTCCCAAGGAGCAGGCGTCTTAATTTCGTGACTGCTGTCACCATCTGCAGTGATCATGGAGCCCAAGAAAATAAAATCTCTCACTGCCTCCATTTCTTCCCCTTCTATTTGCCAGGAGGTGATGGGCCCAGTGGCCATGATCTTCGTTTTTTTGATGTTGAGCTTCAGACCAGATTTTGCGCTCTCCTCTTTCACCCTCAATAAAAGGTTCTTTAATTCCTCCTCACTTTCTGCCATCAAGGTTGTGTCATCTGCATATCTGAGGTTGTTGATATTTCTTCCGACAATCTTAATTCCGGTTTGGGATTCATCCAGCCCAGCCTTTCGCATGATGACTTCTGTATATAAGTTAAATAAGCAGGGAGACAATATACAGCCTTGCCGTACTCCTTTCCCAATTTTAAACCAATCAGTTGTTCCATATCCAGTTCTAACTGTAGCTTCTTGTCCCACATAGAGATTTCTCAGGAGATGAGGTGATCAGGCACTCCCATTTCTTTAAGAACTTGCCATAGTTTGCTGTGGTCGACACAGTCAAAGGCTTTTGCATAGTCAATGAAGCAGAAGTAGATGTCTTTCTGGAACTCTCTAGCTTTCTCCATAATCCAGTGCATGTTTGCAATTTGGTCTCTGGTTCCTCTGCCCCTTCGAAATCCAGCTTGCACTTCTGGGAGTTCTCGGTCCACATACTGCTTAAGCCTGCCTCAGTTGTAATACTGAGCAACATAAAGACAGGACAAGTGCAATACATCTACATAACCTGGGCAGGGATATGTGATTGGAATTTTTTTCTTTGCACCATGGCCTCATTTGCCTGCCACTGAAAACTTAGCTTATAGTTTACTGTGAGCATGCCAATCCGAGTGTTCAGAAGAAACTACAATCCCAGGCTTAGCATTATGTCTGGACCAGAGACTGTAGTTTGCTTTGCTCCATACAAAACAAGATCTGTACTTAAGTTTTGCTTTTGACTTACGGATTGTGGTTTGTTGGAGCAAAACAAGCTGCTATATCTGCTTCAGACATAACATAAAGTCATGGTCTGTGGTTTTTTCCTCCCATGTGCTAGTAGGAAGGAGAAAAGTGGCCCAGACTGCATGTTCATGGTAAACCATTAACTATTGTTTAACCAGATACGTGAACTGGGCCATGAGAGATCTGTGAATGGGGTCTCTGTGCTTTTTTGCTTGCTTTTCTCAATTAAATAAGCCTCCCCACCTCCATATTTGCTGCCATTTGACCCATAGGGCAAGCAAAATATGCAGCCATCATTATGGGCAGAAAACACATTCTTCCTTTTATTGTATTTATTGAAACAAGATTACTCGTCCTGCCAGTTGGGACTGCCAGGAACCCTTCTGTTTCAGTTCTTTCTCGGTAATTAGAGGAGCATACAGACTTCCTTTTCCTCAAATAAGTGCACACATGAATAACTATATCCTGTATTTTGTTTTAAAGGAGATAAGAAAGAGGAGAAAAATGATTCAGAAGAGAGCTCAACAGAAGATGATTCAGATGAAAATGAGGGTAGAACCCTTGGGAGCACCACAGATGTCTTGAATATGGTAATATTTATTTATTTATTTTGTCTCCACAGATCTCAGGGGGCTCACAACATAAAAATACAATATAAAAGCACAAAATACATGATAAAAACACGGACAAAACATCCCACAAACCAACAACCCCCTCCCACAAACACATCTACTACTAGTGATTGTATTTATACTTTGGTTTGTGGCTGAGGTATAACTGTTTTCCTGTGGAGTGTCTGGTGGCAGTAGCAACAGCAGGAAGAGCACAGGAATCTTTCCTGGGCCACTTCCACACTCCACAGTTACAACATAGAGATAAAATGGTTTAATATGGACATAATGCTCAACTATGGTTTAGTGTTTCAGGAATGGGCCATGGGCTTGTGCAACACCTTCCTCCTCTCCTCCAGTATGACCATGAGGAGATCAAAAACATTCACATCTGTTTTCAGTTAATCGCAGTTTAACACTATGACCAGCCTATATATAAACTGGTTAATTTTCACTATGGTTTATTAAAACGACTCAACTTCATGAAAACTGTTACAAAGTAGACCTGTTTTAGTAAACAGAAGTTAAGTCTAGCCACAGTTTAGCTTGGAAACTTAACACTAAACTGTGGTTTCTTAAAAACTGAAACAAGAACTTCCAGTCTCCTTGCAACTGCTGGAGAGGGAGGGTGTGGTGCACAAGCCCAAGTCCACTTTGGTTTTACTGGGGACCTCTGTAGTGTAGTATTTAGGTAGCAAGAAAATTTGCATAGTTCTGGGTAAATGTTTTGCATTAATGTTAGTTAAAAGGATCAGGTAGGAGGGGATGGAAAAGACCTCTGCCTGAGATCTTGGAGAGCTGCTACCCCTCACAGTAGACAGTAATGGGCTAGATAGGCAACTTGTTCTACCAGGCAGAAGACAGATTCTTACATTGCTATAATTCTGATACTTTGGGCATCAGGCTGTTAGTCTGGAAGGTATGTTGAGATCTTCTGGTTAAAAAGCAGAGTTCATGAATGTGTATCTAATGCTATTTTGTTAGCTAGTTGCTGTTATTTACTACTCTCATTAAAATGCTTTCCAGACCCACGTGATGAGAGTGAATCCCGTTGACCATTCCTTAGAGTTAGCACCAGTACAAAAACAGAAGGTACTGCCAATTTATATATGTATTTTATCTTTTTATTTATTTGTTTATTTTTCTTTAAAAAAATTATTTTATCTAAAATGTGGTTATCTTTCCTGTTGCTATGAAACATTAACTACAGTAACTCTACTGATTCTAGTTTTAAAAAACACCAAAACAGGTAAATTTTAAATTTAAGGCATAAGAGTTGTCACACAAAATAATTTAATGCATCTTTTGTTTCCGGGAACGTATTTAGGATAAGGGCAAATCTTTCCCCACACCAGGTTGCTTTTCTGCTTATTACTAGCGAAAGGTTTATATACATTGTTGTTATTTTAAAAATTATTTTGAGCAGTATACTTTTTCATCAGGGGCTTGCAATGGGAAAGCGGGCAGAAGAATCCTGCTGTGCAAGTGGAATTGTGCTTATGCCTCTCTGAATCTTGCCCATTTTCTTCTTCATCTTTTATGTTACCTTCATTTATGATCCTCTTCCATCCTGTCAAGCTGCTTATGTTCCCTTTTCATGTTCTGATTTATTTGCCTTTTGTCTTCCTCTCATTTTATTTGTAACACTCTCCTTTCTTTTGTTCCCCCTTTTCTTTCTTGCTTCCCATGTGGAGTAGAAGAAAAATAAAAATGGGAAACTGGATATTCATGGTAAGGGTGGGATGAAAGAGTCTGTTCCTCCCAGAGTTCAGAAGGTTCTGGAATTGGGTGGTGCATCTTCTCAGGTGGAACCTACACATTCAGAGTGTCTAGGAAAGGATCCCAATTTAGAAAAAAGTTTTTACGATGCTTTTGTGAGGAAAATTAAAGCTGGTAAAAAGTACTCAAAAAGTAAGTCTGCACAGGCCATTACTGATAGGGCACTGAAGCCTGACACTGACCAGACTATTAAAAAGGAATTTAAAGTAGCAAAAAAGGGAAAATTGGACCAAGTAAATTCAACCCCTCAGGAGCTGCCATTCAGCCATGCTAGTGATGGTATGATAGAAAAACACTATGTGGATTGCCAGGAAAATAAAGCAGAAGCTAAAGTAGTGAAATCTGATAAATATGGCAAAATATATGTGCAAGGTAAAGAAAACAATGAAAAACAGAGAGAGTTTAAACACAAGGAGATATTTATGAAGCAAACAGCAGTAACTGTGTCATCATCTTCAAGTGAGGAAACTAGTAATGAGTCAGCAAAATATGTTCTTCAGATAAACCAGTTTAATTATGGCAAAATAACAAAGAGAGAAATGGATGTAGAAAACAGAAATATAAATTGGGAGAAGGAGCAAAATAAAGAAAAGGGGTGTTTTGAAGATACCAGTAATCAAGCTCAGAGTGAAGAGAATGAAAATATAGATAGTTCAGATAAGGCTGCCAAGTTAGAAGAAGAGAATCTTGAAAGTGGGCAAGACAATGAAGAATGTGGAGTGGTTGCAGAAGAAGCTGAAAACGAAGAGGAGAAGCAAGATGGAAAAAATGACAGTGAAGTAGAATCTGAAGGAGAAGAAGGTGAAAATGAATCAAATAAAGAAGATGACCCCGTAGCCATTGACAGAGATGAAGAAGTTAAAATGCAGTCTAAAGCAGAAAATGTGGATAGGCTGGAGAATGAGGTGGAAGAAGGGAAAGTTGACACAGATTTTGAACTGCAAGAGGAAGAAGCAGAAGAAGAAGATATAGATGAGGCTGTAATGGAAGAAAAATATGAAAACATAGAGGAGGGTGAATTTGTAAAGGAGATTGAGGTGGTAGAGGAGGAGCAAGAGAAGAATGAATGGGTGGAAGAGGAGAAAGAAAAAGAGAGCAAGAGTGAAGAGAGGGAGAAGGAAGAAGAGACAAGGGAGGAAGAAGTGGGAGTAGGGGAAGAAGATGACAGGAAGGAGGAAGAAGGAGGAAAAGAGGAGGAGGAGGAAGAAGAAGGAAAAGAAGGGGAGGAGGAAGAGGGAAAAGAGGGGAGGAGGAAGGAAAAGAGGAGGAGGAAGAAGGAAAAGAGGAGGAGGAAGAAGAAGGGGCAGAAGCAGAGGAAGAAGGGGAAGAGGAAGAAGTTGAGGCAGAGGAAGGAAAAGAAGGGATGGAGATGGAGGAGGGAGAGGAGGAGGAAGAAACTGGAGGAGAGGGAGAAGAGGGAGAAGGAGAGGAGGAGGAAGAAGAAGAAGCGGAGGAGGAGGAAGAAGTGGAGGAAGAGGAAGAAGAAACGGAGGAGGAGGAGGAGGAAGAAGAAGAAGAAGAAGAAGAAGAAGAAATGGTGAAGGGAGAGGAGGAGGAAGGAGAAAATGAAGAGGAAGATGTGGAAGAAGAAGAAGAAGAAGCTGAAGAGAGTCAGGAAGAAGCTGAGGAAGGGGAAGAAGGCAGGGAGGAGGAAGACAAAAGAGAAGAGGAAGAAGAAGAGCATGTAGAGGAAGAAAAAGCAGTCCAGAAAACCAAAGGTCATAAACATCAAGAAAATAATAAGAGGAAACAGGAGACATATGATAAAATAAAAAGCTCAAAACAAAGGGTGACATCAAAACATGTTGTGAATGGACTTCAAAATTCACAATTTTGGAACAATGTGCTGCCACATTATTTGACACTAAAGTAGCCCTGAAGCTCAATTTTACATGGAAATTTTGTATAGGGAATTGTAATACAGCACTATGCCAAAATTTATATTTATTTCTTAATGATTTTTTTTACTAAACAATTTTACTTGCCATTTTATATAAATTCCTCAAATCTCAACTTTATAAAACACACTAAAGGCAGTCTTGTGCTGTGACAAATCTGCCAGTGAGAACCAGGTACCATGTTCAAATTATGAGATCTCCGCTGTTTCAGATTAATGCTATTTCACTGTTGAGTTTTTTGAACATTGCATGGTCACAAAAGCTGTGTATGGTGTGTGGACTAAAGGTTTTCTTGTACTGAGAGAAAATACTCCATGCGTTCCTTCTTTGGACATATTGTTTCAAGACACGCTGGCTGGCTGTCTCAGCTTGGCAGTCCTATTAGGGGGGTAATACCGAAAGAACAGTGGCATGCCTAGGACAGTAGAGTTCTCTGGCTGTACTTCATAAATCTTCTGCAAGAAGTGGTGGAAAGGGGAAGGTGAATGAAACAGGGTATTGGTGACAACCCCCTCAAGGGCCAGATAAGCTAGGGGCCAATAAGTGGGAGTGGCTCCCACTGTATTCTTCAGTAATACAGGTTACAGGTTTCCTGCAGGCATCGGGCTCTCTGCTGTTGGACAGAGACCGGGATCCAAAGAGCCCTTTAGGCATGCTCAAAGGGCTCTCTGAATTTTCTCTCTCAACTACAGGTGCTTACTGCATTGCACTTTTATTAGAGATTGCTCTGGGGTGTCCACCAAAGGGAGTGACTATTTAGGGACGAGGAACGGTGGCATGAGAAGTCATATCTTGCATGCGCCATGCACACTGAATGATACAGACCTTTGGTCTGATCCAGCAAAGACAATAGTTTTGCTCTTGCAGCCAGCAGTGCAGCCATGCCATAAGAGAGTGATGGGGAACCGGTGACCCTGCCGGTGTTGTTGGATCCTAGTTCCCATCATCCCTGACTGTTGGCCATTCTGGCAGGGACTGATGGGAGTTGGGGTTCACCACCTTCTGGAGGCTCCCTACCCCTGCCCTAAGAATTTGGTTTGTCATCTAATGATAAAAAATGCTTGTTTTGTTTCCAGTCTCTGTCCAACAGCAGACATATATTTTATGTTGCCCAATTATGCGTCCATGAATGTGGCTTCCTTTTTCATTTGTTCAAAGCATATTAAGTGCTTCTGTTGTTTTAATATGTTTACTGTGCCTTGTAATAAGTTTTCCAATAAAAATATTAAAATTACGGTGCACTTAAAAAAAAACATGTTAATGTTTATTCTGATTTATTGTTGCTATGCAATCATATTTATTTGGGACAATTTATTTGGATGTATACTTAGTTGCATATATGAAAAATGTCCCGGGGTTTTAAAAAAACCTCTCCGCCCCCCCGCCCGGCTTCGGAGCAGCCTTCCGAAGCCGGGCGGCGGGAGGAGGTGTTCTCCCCCCGCTGCCCGGCTTCGGAGCAGCCTTCCGAAGCCGGGCGGCGGGAGGTGGTGTTCCCCCCGCCGCCGCCCGGCTTCGGAGCATCCTTCCGAAGCCGGGCGGCGGGAGGAGGTGTTCCCGCCCCGCCGCCCGGCTTCGGAGCAGCCTTCCGAAGCCAGGCGGCGGGAGGAGGTGTTCCCCCCCGCCGCCCGGCTTCGGAGCATCCTTCCGAAGCCGGGCAGCGGGAGGCGGTGTCCCCGCCCCGCCGCCAGGCTTCGGAGGAGGTCCGAGGACAGTGGGGAAGACGCGCTGCGCTTCCCCGCTGTCCCGGAGATTTCCCTATGGGCTTTCGTCTTGCGAAGGAAGCCCATAGGGAAATTCGTTTTGCGAAGCGCCTCCAAAATGGAAAACCCTTTCGTCTAGCGGGTTTTCCATCTTGCGAGGCGTTCGTCTTGCGGGGCACCACTGTAATTGAAAGTTAATGCTAGTACTGATTTTGTTGATCCAGGACTCCATAGTCTACAAAGAGAGATATTGAACAAAAGGCTGAGTTGTTGTCATCTCCAACCATATTTTTCTAACTCAGTATCAGGCTCCAGAAACCTTCTTTTCTCTCTCAAACACTCTTTGTCTCTTTTGATTGAATTCTTATTTCTGAATTCATTGGCAAAGGGTCAAAATAGAGCAACATGAAAAGAATGGAAGGTAAAATATATTATTAATTAAAATGTTTAGTAAACAAGCCTGAAGGAAAAAGTAGACATTTTCCATTCCACTTGGCAACATCCTGACTGTGGAGGAGAACCAAATGTGTTTACTGGTATTCTGAAGAATAGGCTGTGATTTGTTTATTTAAGTCTTAAGTGTTTGTATAAGTAAGCACAGTGGAGTTCAGTATCGTAATATATCTGGCTAACTGACGTTGATTGGGCTCATATTCAGAATTAAAGTGATTGTAACTTCCCTCTTCAGTCGTTGTAGGGGGGTGGTGAAAACAACATGGTTTTATCCGGAAAAGATGCTGTATTGGAAGATGCTAAAGTATAATTAATTCTTCTTCCCTTGTATATTAGAAATGGAGAGAGAAGGTAAAATGTACAGGAGCTCATAAACAAACTGCATGAGTTGTAAACAATCTGAAAATAGATAGTTGCAAGATCAATATCTAGCTCTCTTGGCTTTCATTCTGTTTTTACTGTAGAAAAGAAGTCAGTTCCTATAGACATGTTTCATATTCCAGAATTGGGACTTAGCAGTAGGACCACTGTGATCAAGCATGTGAGTGTGCACGTTGGGGAAACAGGGATTGCCTGTGATGTAATGGGTCAGTGCATCTGGCTGTTAACCAGAAGGTCGGTGACTCACAAGTCTACATTGCCTCTTAACACAAATGTTTCCAAGGTGGCTTACATACAGTAAAACAATATGGAGCAATTCAAAAGTAAAAGCATAACTTTAGTTGAATGGTTCACATGTGCACCTTTGGATCTTTAAAGAATAAGGGGCAAGAATAAGGAGATAAAACTTCTGTTGAAGGATGAACATACTGAATTCCTTGGTGCATATCTTCTGAATCTGGTTTAAGTGGCTACTCTGGCAAAATACAGAGAGACTGTGATCTTAATCTGAATTGCATAAAAGGGTCAGACATCCTATTCCATGGTTTTAAACAGGATAAATAGGCAAAATCTTATTTTTCTCAAAGAATAGCAACTGGGACAAAATGTGTCCATAATTCCTTTTAACAGCTGCATTTATATTTATAGCAGGCCCTTTAGGGAACAAACATGTCTAGTTTGCTTTCTGGTCTTACTTACCGCTGAGTATAAATCTTAAGTATAAATCTTCCTGGATTGAAAACTTGAGCTACTTTCTATTTTCATCAGGAATGTTAAACTGCTATGGATTCTAGGCAGCATTCCTCTGCCTCGCCTTCCAAAATTCAGACAGTTAAAGTAAATGGATCTTCTGGTTTGTTTTTTAACACAGCAGATTGTAATTCTTTGGCAAATATGTCTTTCATAGAATCATAGAATTGTAGAGTTGGAAGGGACCCCAAGGGTCATCTAGTCCAGCCCCCTGCAATGCAGGAATTTCATCTGCATGATCGTTTACGTTATGAACAGATGTAGAGCATCTAATTCACTTGCCTTGAACACTATTTGGTGAAAAGGTAGGATATAAATTTAACCAGTAAACAAAACCATCGAAATTCTTGAGCTCCGTCTGGCTGCGCTCATTCTGTTGCGGGAGGGGGACCCTCAAAGGCACCAGCTGCCTTTGGCAGCAGCAGAAGCGTCTCTGGCCCCTCCCCGTCAGCCGTGGATTTCAAGGAAGAAGACAGAAAATGCAGGTGTTTTTTCTGCCCCAAACTACAGACAGACGAGGCACACTTAGCAGGGTTTTATGAATAACCGCCACCCCTAGGGGAGGAGACCCACCAGCTTTCCCATTGCAGGACTGTGACACCAAAGGGTGATCACTGTCTAGCACATCTGAATGGCCACTCCGCCCAGCTCCGACAAGAAAACAAACAAACAATCAAACAAACAAACGTGAATCCCTCCCCAGAAAAAATGAAAACGGCCAGGCTTTCTGCGACTGCGTCACCTCTCCCCCCCCCCGCCTCCTTCCTCTCCCCCCCACCCCATGGCCAAGGGAAGTGACCTCTTGTTACTTCCACTGCCACCAGGGCTCAGCATCCTCCAGAAAAATTAAAAGCAAAAATAAAACCCTGAAAAAATGGGGGGAACAGAAAACTGAAGGGGGGGGAATGGGTTGCCATACATCCCAGAAATTTATGGCATCTCTTAAAATTCAACACACACACACACACACACACACACACCTCGATGCCATTTTAGGCATCCGATTTCCATACATGTCTGGAATTTTCCAGACGTATGGCAAGCCTATGGTTGGCCAAAGGAACTGCTGTGAATAGAACAGCAAGCAAAGATCTGGCCTCATTGGAATGTGGGAAGTTGCTTATATCGAGTCAAGCCATTAGTCCATATAGCTCAGTATTGTCTATGCAGTATTAGCAGTTGCGACTGAGATCCTGCCCTTCATCTGTGATTTCTCTCTTGCACATGGGTGTCCTCTTATCTCCACCCTGACCATAGTTTCTTTGGCATCAAGGAAATTTTGATATCTCAAGAACACCACTGAAGAGCTAATAAATTCTTTCTCTAGCTGGTTTGTATGGCTGTCTTCATTCTTTCAGCCCCACATTAGCATGTTGCCTCCTGCCACTGTTGGTTTATGCCCTTTAATCTCTCAGAACATAAAAGGGAGGCAGAACTTTGCCAAATTCAGGACTTCCTCAATGTGAGGGACACTTGGGGTTGGTAAATAAAGTAGATTGCATTTTTAAAGCCATCTTTGCCTTACCCATGTTACACTTGACCCCAGTTGTAACCAATCCCATATCCTTCCTTTGTTCACAACTTTGCTACTCCTCCCATGCAGCATTACGAAGGGGAGGAGAGCCGGCTTTGCTTTCTCCTGGCTAAATGGAACCTGAGCAAACTAGTTTAGTAATATTTCAGGGGAGAGGGTCCGTGGAGAAGACATAGAGATCCCATAAAACAGTGGAAATGGGGGAGGGAAATGTTTGGAAGAAGTTCTGGTTTTTTTTGAGCAACTTCAGATGTATGAGGTGGACATAAAGAGGAAATATCTGCTTTCCAGGAACTGGCACACCAAAAGGTAATTTAGCATCTTTAGACTAAGGGCTTGTTCACATTTGAGCTTTATTTAATTGTTAATCTACTTTTTCCACATTCGAATTAGACTGGAGTAGTCCACCCCCACACATACTTGAATTTGTATATGGGGAGCAAATTTCCATTAATACCAATAGGCATTCCCTTTTGTATTTGTCTATGCCTTCAAATTTGTTGGTTCTGTTGCACCAATTGAGTACTGATAAGGCATGCACACAGATAGTTGCAAGCACACCTTGTTGTGTTTTCTTTTAAAATCCCTCCTTGATTAGTGTGCCAAAGCACATAAAAGGTAAAGGTACCCCTGCCCGTTCGGGCCAGTCTTGCCAGACTCTAGGGTTGTGCGCTCATCTCACTCTAGAGGCCAGGAGCCAGCGCTGTCCACAGACACTTCTGGGTCACGTGGCCAGTGTGACAAGCTGCATCTGGCAAGCCAGTGCAGCACACGGAACGCCATTTACCTTCCCGCTGGTAAGCGGTCCCTATTTATCTACTTGCACCTGAGGGTGCTTTCGAACTGCTAGGTTGGCAGGCGCTGGGACCGAACGACGGGAGCGCACCCCGCCGCGGGGATTTGAACCGCCAACCATGTGATCGGCAAGTCCTAGGCGCTGAGGTTTTACCCACAGCGCCACCCGCGTCCCTATGCAAAAGCACATAACTAGTTCTAAATTTGCTTCTGCAGTTTTCTGGTTTTGTGCAGATATGAGGGATAACAAAATAATAATTCCTTAGGGAGTGCACGGGAAATAGTTATGAGCACAGCTGGAAAAGTAAGGAAAGCATTGAGGAAGTAATGGGCATGGAAGGGTGAGTAGCAGAAAATGACAATGGATCCACCCCCAAAAGAACATCTAAA